GGTGTATTCACTGAGAATGCTGGTGAGGGGCAGCAGGTTCTTGGACAGCTATCACTGTAGTTATTTATTTGAAAATAACAACCCATCTTTCTGGATCATGTTTATTGTTTTCTCTACATGATCAGCTTTATGATCACACACGTCAGTAGTATTTAGTTTCTTGAAAACCTGCGTCACAGCACTTGTATAGCATGAGTATCAAGTGTTTTTGATTGTTCTTTTTAAAACAAGGAGGCGATAGTACACCTGACTTAGTTTCAATAAGTGATCAAAGATGACATGAATTCAACTGAAAATAAATAAAAATAGTTAACAAGTACTAACTTAGAAGTAACATGTAACTGTAAAAGGGACTTGACACCATGTACTCGTGCAGAATTTGCATTTAGTCAGTCTTACTCTACATGCCAGATAATATTTCCAAATACTGGGCATGAGCGACATAATTTGAATTGTTTTGACTTGGATCTACCCCCAGTTGATTAGTAAGCAAACTTGAAAACCATTCAATTGAGTGGTTATACATTTTCCTCTTAATTGTTCAACTAGCTTGTTTGCATTTGAAAATCGATATACAGAATTTCTTCATGCATCAATGTTGAGAATGTGAATACAATTGCATGCTTGGTCTGAACTGAATGTGACAGTGTGTACATACCAAGAATGTAGAGTTTAGTTACATCAGGGTTTTGTGATCACCTTCACATTATGGAACATGGTGGAAACTAGGGTCACAGGTGGCTAAGTTACCTACGTTTTAGAGTTCCTTGGGAATGCCAGAATTTTAGGATCCCATATTTGTGGGTTGTCAGCACTGCTTGTTATTCCTAAATAGGTCTTTAGCAACCCATGCTTGCCGTAAAAGGTGACTATGCTTGTCGTAAGAGGCGACTAACGGGATCGGGTGGTCAGGCTCGCTGACTTGGTTGATGCATGTCATCGGTCCCAATTGCGTGGATCAATGCTCATGTCAATCACTGTATTGTCTGGTCCAGACTCGATTATTTACAGACCGCCGTCATATAGCTGGAATATTGCTGAGTGCTGCGTTAAACAACAAACCAAACCAAAAGCTTGTTATTCCTAGTAACACATTTTTGTGAATATTAAATGGACCCAGCCCTGTTTGTCCTAGATGTCATTTTCTAGAGCAGATCTTGAAAACCGTACACTATTACTTCAAACTTGGCATATAGATGGATCTAGCAGTGAACTGGTGCTATTCGATAATATGGCATGTTTTGGGGGAAAAACAAGTTTCCATAGCAACAACTTTGTAGGCAGAAGGGGGGTAGTGCTGGTTTTGGAGCAGATTTTGAAAACCGTACTATATTTCATCAAACTTGGCACATAGGTTTTGTGTTCAAATGGTCACTTTTGATGCCATGACATTTGACATGCAGTCAAGTCAATATAACTAGTTGATGTATTTGACCGCCTCTATAGTCTAGTGGAAGAGCAGAATGTCTAGGGTTTGATCCCCGGATGCATCATACCAAAAGACGTTAAAAGATGGTACTTGTTACCCTGTCAGGCACTAGACATAAGGGGCTAAAACAAGGACTGGTCACTTCAGAGTCGGTATGCTGTGATATAGTTGGGTACTCGTGTTAGCGACATGCTATTCTCAGAGGGCTAGCAATATATAAATCGGCATCAGTCCGTACTTGTACAAGCAAACACTCACATGTGCATGAACATTGCTATATAAGTGCAATAATCTTTGATGCGACATTAAACCCCATTTCACCTTACCTCACCTAGTTGATGTATTCACAAGTATTATGTCTTCCCCCAGAATGGAGGGAGACATTGTTTTTGGCAAGGTTCCCGTCGGCGTCGGCGTTCCCGGACCATAACTCAGAAACCGTTTAATATTTTTTCACAAAACTTTGTATACACATTAACCCAGCACTGAAGTGGTGCCTTTTGCTATTTAGAGATTTTTGACATTTTTATTTTTTCTCGTTTCCATGGATATAAGTTGAACATAGGCTCTGAATGGGGGTAAGCTTTGTTTCCTGACCATAACTCAGAAACCGTTTAATATTTTTTCGCGAAACTCTGTATACACATTAACCCAGCACTGAAGTGGTGCCTTTTGCTATTTAGAGATTTTTGACATTTTTATTTTTTCTCGTTTTCCATTGAGATAAGTTGAACATAGGCTCTGAATGGGGGTAAGCTTTGTTTCCTGACCATAACTCAGAAACCGTTTAATATTTTTTCGCGAAACTTTGTATACACATTAACCCAGCACTGAAGTGGTGCCCATTAGTTGTTTGAAATTTCTAGGAGTTCTATTTTTGTCTCTGTTATTTAGTAATGGAGGGTGGGAATGAAGAGATGGGGTTTAACGTGAAGTAAACGAATGAATGGGAGTGGGGGGAGACATATGTTTTTACGAGTAAAAACACTTTCTAGTTAACCATTGTTGGCAATATGACGTCCTTTTATTTGCATCTCTTCCACATACCATGAACACAGTGGTGCTACCTAAATACTGATTTTAATACTGATCATGTTCAAAGCAGTCCAACCAAACTTGCAATATAATATGAATACAAACTTTTAGACAGTTTGCTATAGGTTGTACATTTGAATACCAGTACTTAACTTGCAACGTCACATTTAATGCTGCTCATTACATAATGAAGGTCTTAGAGGATGAAAATGGATGGGTGCATGGGACTTTGTTTTAGGAGTTTCTGCGTGAGGCAGTTGTTATCCCCGGCCCAAGAAAGTTGGCGGGGGATATAGAAACGGGCTCCGTCCGTCTGTCACGTTTCGTTTCTGGAGCATAACTCTGAAACCGTTCAATATTTTTTCATCAAACTTTGCAGGTTTGTCAGGTACATGCTGAACTGGTGCCTTTTGCTATTTAGAAATTTTAGAAATGTTTATTTTTTACGTTTCCATGGCAACAAGATGGACTTAGGTTCTGTGAGGGTAGCGTTCGTTTCCGGAGCATAACTCATAAACCGTTCAATATTTTTTCATCAAACTTTGCAGGTTTGTCAGGTACATGCTGACCTGGTGCCTTTTGCTATTTAGAAAGTTTATAAATTTTTATTTTTTACGTTTCCATGGCAGCAAGATGGACTTAGGTTCCAAACTCTTCTTTTTTTTTTACAATTTCCATGACAAGTTCCACCTCGGTTAAAAAAGGTTAGGGTTTGTTCACCTCGGTTAAAAAAGGTTAGGGTTTGTTATTCCCCGCCCAACAAAGTTGGCGGGGGATATAGAAACGGGCACCGTCCGTCCGTGTATCACGTTTCGTTTCCGGAGCATAACTCATAAACCGTTCAATATCTTTTCATCAAACTTTGCAGGTCTGTCAGGTACATGCTGAACTGGTGCCTTTTGCTATTTAGAAATTTTAGAATTTTTTATTTTATGTTCCATGGCAACAAGATGGTTCAAAACAATTCTTTTTTTACAATTTGCATGACAAGTTCCACCTCGGTTAAAAAAGGTGAGGGTTTGTTTAGATTTAATTATGTCATAAATTCTGCAACAGGGGCGGGGGATATAGCCACATTAGTGGCAAACTCTTGTTTAGATTTAATTATGTCATAAATTTTGCAACAGGGGTGGGGGATATAGCCACGTTAGTGGCAAACTCTTGTTTATTATTCAATTAAGCCTGTTTCAAAACTTGAAGTGATGTCTTCAAGTCGAAGTTCACAGCTGATTAAGGTGGATAAAGGCATCATCTGACCTGAACTGCCAATAACTAGTTCATGTTGCATATAGCACCATGGGGTGTTTTGTACTATGTGTGAAGCCCATTTCTGGTGTTTCTCCCCCTACCGTGATACTGCTTAAAGCAGCGTAAAACTAAACTCACTCACTCATTAATGACTGAAATAAATTTCATCCAAGCGGAAAAGGATCAAATTAAGTTGCCCAGTTCAATCCATGTATTAATCTTGGGTATTTAAAAAGATGTGTACAATGCAAACCCCTTTCTCGTTGTGTGCTTCACAACCATGGTTGTTGGTATCTCTAAAACTTGTACACCCGTGGGATACGACTATCAACTACAACCAACCCACAGCAGATGTACCTTTGCAAAGAGGGGTAAACACTTGTACCACTGAAAATGTGCACTTCAGGGCTTTGGGCTCATTTGTGTGCTTGTAAAGGGAGACCTGGATGGTTGGGTGTATTCTGCCTTCATAGTTCATCCAGCATTCGACCGTGCATGCAGTGTTTTCATACTTCCATGTCAGAATGAGATCTGATTGGTCCACATGATATTAATAAAGTACTGTCTGACACACCTTGGGAGGGTAATAAATTTCTTATACCCCTTCGTGAACAAATCAGGCTGCACGTGGTAGCCTAGTGGTTTAAGCGTGCGGTCGTCACGCCGAGACCCGGGTCGATTCCCCCTCATGGGTACAATGTGTGAAGCTCATTTCTGGTGTACCCTGTCGTGATGTTGCTAAAAGCAGGGTAAAAACACATTCACTCACTCTGAGACCGCATAAATCCCTTGTACTCTGCTTTCTGCATGCTTTTTTTGCGTCCCCGTGCTGTCAGGTACTTAAGGAAACTGGTCCCATGAACCCTTTCGCCACTAAAGTCATTTGGAAGTGACGTACCATCTCCAGCTGATATCACAAACTTGGCACAGAACCTTTGAGCTTGAAATCAACAATCATCTAAAAGGAAAGAGTATAGATCTACCTTCTAACAGGATGTTATTAGGCTCTCTGGTGTTGTCAGTTGTATTTGAGATGGTAGGAAATAGATTACTGTTCATATAGCTACTTGGTACTAGATTTGGAAACTTTCTAATGTTGCCATTCATGCTGGACTTCATATAAGCTCTGGTTCCAAATGGGTCTAAACTATGCTACTCCCAAGAAGTTAAGGACGGTCCAATTACTTGATGTTAATATGTCAAACTTCTTTTGAGTGAAATATTTACAATAATGGAGATGTAATACACTGGATAACCGAGGTTACCAATTCATAACAGACACGACGTGACATGACAATAATTTATTACAATATACATGTATTTCAACAATGGACGGATGTGTTGTAGAGAAGACTTCTACAGTGGAATGATTGGGGCAACCTGTTTATATTGCTCACATTACTGAACATTTTTACCAACAGTGGAGAAGAAAAATTTATAAATGAACTTTGATACATGTATGGCATGGTGAGGTTTGTCCCGTAAACTAAGCAATTTCATAACTGCTGCATTAGTTGTCATTTAATTTGTGTTTTTTTATTGACATCAAACTGTAGATTTCCTCCTCAATAGGTTTGTGTATGAAATAATATAAACAGGTTAGCATTGCTGTTGAATTTCACTCTAGATGGCGTGTTTGCCTGCCAGTCTGTCCTGGAGCAGAACATTGAAGTCATCCAGTCCTCTGTATACGCGGCGACTGATCGGGACGAAGTCACACTCCATTGTCCGTGCAGAGATAACTTTGTTTATTAAGGATATATTTTGAAAATTACATATAATGCGGGGGGGGGATATAGCGATCAGCCAGTCTGTCTGTCTGTCTGTCTGTCTGTCTGTCTGTCTGTCTGTCCGTCCGTCCGTCCGTAATCATTTCCTTTTCCGGGGCACAATTCCAAAACCATTCAGTGTATTTGATCGAAACTTGGCAAAGCTATCAGGCACATACTGAAGTGGTGCCTTTTGATATTTTGGGATTTTTCTAATTTTTATTTTTTTAAATTTTTATGGAATGAAGTTGGACATAGACTCAATTGGGGATGGGGTTCGTTTCCGGGGCAGAATTCGAAAACAATTCAGTGTATTTGATCGAAACTTGGTAAATCTATCAGTCTCATACTGAAGTTGTGCCTTTTGCTATTTAGGAATTTTATAAATTTTTATTTTTTACGTTCCCATGGCAACAAGATGGATTTAAGTTTTTAATATAGGGTGGGTTCACTTATGGAGTAAAACAAATAAACTGTTACATATTTCCTTGCCAAACATTGCATGTCTATATATATATACTGAACTGGTGCCATTTGATATTAAGGAAGTTAATAAGTCTTAGAAATGTTTATTTTAGAATTTCCATTGCAGCTATTTTGAAATGGGCTCAAAGAAATGTTGGGTCAGTTACCTGGTTTGGGACTATAACGTGTTAAAATGGGCGGGGGATATAGATGACTTCGTGACTGTATGCTTGTTTAGTCATTGTTTCTTGTAATTTGTCATTTGTTTGCATAAAATAAACCCCACAGAATACAGAATAGCACATTTACTAGTGGTTACTTTACAGACAGCTGCCGTGGGGATATGTCATCTTTCTGATAACTCTTGTTTTAAATTGAGCAAATCCTGACCATGAACAACATAATTGGGTGCATGTCATGAGAATCGAAGTGCATTTTGTTGGGATTTAGTCAAAAATACTTTACCAGTGAGCATGCATGGAAAACCTGATTTCAAAGGGATACATTCCTTCATGGAGAAGTTGTTCTGTTCGTGTTGCTGCCATTTTCTCTCCAGATTGGACAGCTGAAACAAGATCAAGTCTTTGTGAAATTTTCCACTTGAAACTTCTTACATTTTATAACTGTATTTCTTATACATTAGGAACACTCTTTCAAAAAATAACGTTTGAAGACGAATGGTTCTTGGAACTGACTAGGGAATATAGGAGAATATGTATTATATTGTACTCTAATTAACTCGACTGAATGCTGTGTTGCCTGTAAACCTCTTACAGACCCGGAAATGAATTTATCTGACATATTCCAAGCAAGTCTATTGTATATAATTTGGCAAGACTAGATTTTTCAGGAAAGGATGTTGTGGCCAATAATACCATAGACAATTTACCAAAGAAAACTTAATGAACAATTGGCATTTCAATTCCTTGGGATGCTTATCATGGAACAGCTTATAATTCTCTTGGATATATACTGTAGTATAGCCAATATTTCCTTGGGATATATACTGTAGTATGGTCCATAATACCCTGGATTGTATACTATATATTATATTATATTATATAAGATAGCTATGCAATAAATCACAAAAAAACAATGAAGAATGAAGTATGGTTTGTTTCACGATAAAAATCATTGTTCTATCATGATGTCATTTCTGGAGATTTTTTTTTTTTTTTTTTTTTTTTTTAATAATTTGTTTCTCTCTCCTCTCCATTTCTGGAGATTCTAATATACACTTGTAACTTGATCATGTAAATTAGACAACATTATTTTGGGGAGGGAAGTGTCTAGTGAGTTGTTCTCCATAAATAGAGCTGATCAATGCAATGGGCGAACAATCGCACCCAAAAGTGGGAGAGATATGAAGATCAGTATAGGGAAAAAAGGTACAGATACTCGATGTGAAAATTATGAGAATATCTGGGAAATGCCAAACTTAGTTCCCCTGTTCATAAAATGGATTTGTCCAACATTGCTGAGGCTGGACATTTTATAAACACCCTTAAGGAGGCTGTACATAATGAAATAATAAGACTCATGGTTGTTTAAAAAAACACTACAGGGAAAATAAACCACTCGGGGCTGTGCCCCTCATAATTCCCAGGGATGCAAACTGTAATATTGCCATTGCCGTACCTGTGTATAAGTTTCATTGTCATTGAGCTGAGCTTTGAGGCCCTCGTACTTAGACTGGAGTTGCTGAATCAGTTTCTTGAATGCATCACGTCGACGCAAAAGATTGATTCGATCCTCCATCAGTTTCTGTAACACATCAATATGCAAGGCCCATACAATCCTATATTTAACTTGTTCAAATGAGGATATCTACATCTTCTGAAAGGTCAAAAAAACTTTGTTGTAAGATGTCCTCATATATTATTGATATAAATGTATGTACACTATGACATGAGAAACAACCACTGCCTCAGAGAAAGAAAGTCTACCTAAGTAGCATAATATTCCAAACATCCTTCACCAGTCCTGAATTTTGTATGCTCTATTCAACCAGATCTGTACGTCTGAAAACTTGGCTGTATAGATACACATCTCACATTTTTCTTGGCCTCTGACTCTTCCTTGAGCATGTTGAGGTCCCCGTACGTTTCGATCTCCTTCTCCATGACCTTCACCTTCTCCTTGAGGACCACCAGCTCTTCCTTCAGCTTCTCCTCGAACTGATGCATCTTGGCCAGGTCCTGCTGTAGCTTCTCCCGCTCTGCAGACAACACAGATCATTTACAATAGATTTTAGTAATTACATGAACTGTTAGTAACTGAGTCTACAAAAATGATTTTACTGATTCTGGATTTGCTGAAGTCACAGAATTATGATATGTTTGATTGTTTGTTTGTTGTTTAATGCCTCACTAAGCAATATTGTCTGTAAATAATAGAGTCTGGACCAGACAATCAAGTGATTGATATCATGAGCATCGATCCACGCAAATGGGATACGATTACATGTATCAACCAGGACAGCGAGCGTGACCACCGGATCCTGTTAGTCGCCTCTTACGACAAGCATGGGTTGCTGAAGACCAATTCTAACCCAGATCTTCACGGGCCCACAGACTGGTGACAGTGGGACACAACTGTTGTATAATTCCTAAAATCAGTAACAATACAACAAGAAGCAGGCTGTAGAAGTGTTAGATCGATTTCAAAGTGGCAATGATTCTATGAAATTCCTATGTGGCACAAGACGAGCTGCTCTACCTGAAGCGAGTCCTGTCGCCGTGGTTTCCGACTTCTTCATCTCCCCCTCCTTGAAGGCCAGGTCCTCCTTCATGCTGGCCAGCTCCTTGGGGGTCGGGAGGTGGGAGAATCGACCCATGTTCTGAACACAACACTCATTAGTTACAATCAACAAGACATGTTGTTTTGTTTGTTTAACAACACTCAACATTCCAACTATATGACGGCAGTCTGTAAAAAATATTGATCTACACAATTGGAATACAATGACATGCATCAACAAAGTCAGCTAGCCTGATCACCCAATCCCGTTAGTGGCCTCTGATGAAGCAAGGGTTGCTGAAGGCCAATTCTGACCCAGGTCTTTACAGGGGTTGAAGACAAAACTTAATCAATGAAACAAGATAGATCACGGTCCATGTTGTTTCCTCACATACATTATCTTGTGACTGACGTAGCTTTAAAATCACTGTCAGAACATCCTGGTGCAAAGCTGATCAACATGTGCAACATGGTTAACATGGTTAAATACAACATGGTTAAATACTATTCCCCTGAAGGCCTTACCCTGCTCATGCGCTCCATCGCCTCTACAATGCTGCCTTCAAGTTCCGTGATCCTTTGCTGAAACAAAAATTAACAGGAGATACTTTATTTTATATGTGTGTGTGTGATATTTAGGGGGATTTGCAAAATTTATTACAACTATATTTTGGAGGCCCAAAGAGGGGGCGTCAAAGAATGACAGTTCTACTTTTTTCAAGTAATTTTATAAATTTGAACATTATTTAGGGACTGGTCACTTATTATAAGGGTGTGTGTGTGTGAAAAAAAAGGTTACATGTATTTGGGTAGGGTATGGTTCATGTTAAATGGGACAAAATGAGTGTGTGTGTGTGTCTGAGCAAAATGTATTACAGTCCTATAAAGACAAATTCCCCCAATAAACGACCCCACCCTTGTTCATTATCTTCACACAGAAGATCAACAGTTTAGCTAGCTCATATGAAAATATCTTGTCTTGAAGTACCATGAATACCATGCTTCTATAAAGAGGTTTATTGTGAGCCCAGTATGCGCTATGTTATAGTACTGAATGGTGGCTTTGGTGTATTATTCCGACGCTGATTCTTACCAGTTCATGGGACTTGGATGCTTCATATGTGTTCAGGAATTCTACAAAACATATCACGTGATAAATATGTGAAAAATGTTCTAATACAAAAAAAGACATTTGCAATAGTACTGCAGACCAACTCTGCTCAAGTAATAAAACATCTCGTCACTTTCCTACATCATACACATACAATAGCACACATGTTATCATGGAAACAAAATCCTAATTAAGGTTATTTTAGAGTTGCCATATATAATACCTGACCATAGCTGTTGATGCCTGAAGACATTACAAACCACAAGCAATAGCATGGATTACTGTCTAGTTCTTGTGTACAGGTAACATGGGCCAGAATCCCAGAATCCTTGGTTGGAATCCGGGGTTCACCTTGATTATGAATGGTGGTTTTTCACCAAAGTTGTAAACGTATTAGACATGCCTCCGTTGGGATTTCCTCACACCTCAAGCTTACATGCCATGATATATCTAAGATTTTGTTCCAAGCAGGATTAACTCACTCACTCTACACAGATAATTTGAACCTACCATCCATGTTCTCCTCTCTCTTCTTCAACTCCTTGTACTTCTGATTTCTTTCTCCTATAAACACAACCATTATCACTTGAAATTAGCCTACCAGTCAAACAGTATCACCTTCATATGAATTAGTCTACTGTGGTTCCCAGTTATTTGGAGGTCTGCTGGTATGTTTGGGGCCCCATTGCACAAAGCGTTCTTGGCACTAGTATTATCATAAGCCTATGTTAAAGAATGGGAGTTACGATCGCCAAAGCGCTAAGATGGCTTTGTGCAACAGGGCCCTGGTGTTGAGCATGAGGCTGTGTGGCTTAGTGTGCTGTGATGACTATACATTTATAGTACAGTCTATTACCTATATAAATAGACAAACCAAGAGTCAAACATTCCGGTAAATTGTATATTTATATACTTATCCTATCTCACACTATGCATTTCTTTTTTCTTCTTCAATCCTATGTGGAAACGAAGTTTCCAGCTTCGAAAAAACAATTCACCAGAACACATCCCAGCATAACCATGGTCACGCACCCAACAACTGGGTCACATACGTAATCCTTGCGGCGACTTCATTGTGATTCTCCTGGATGTCGAGGTCCAGCTGTCTACATAAGCACTACATACCCTGATTCTCCTCGATGTCAAGGTCCAGCTGTCTACATAAGTGCTACGTACCCTGATTCTCCTGGATGTCGAGGTCCAGCTGTCTACATAAGCGCTACGTACCCTGATTCTCCTGGATGTCAAGGTCCAGCTGTCTACATAAGCGCTACGTACCCTGATTCTCCTGGATGTCGAGGTCCAGCTGTCTACATAAGTGCTACGTACCCTGATTCTCCTGGATGTCGAGGTCCAGCTGTCTACATAAGCGCTACGTACCCTGATTCTCCTGGATGTCAAGGTCCAGCTGTCTACATAAGCGCTACGTACCCTGATTCTCCTGGATGTCGAGGTCCAGCTGTCTACATAAGCGCTACGTACCCTGATTCTCCTGGATGTCGAGGTCCAGCTGTCTACATAAGCGCTACGTACCCTGATTCTCCTGGATGTCGAGGTCCAGCTGTCTACATAAGTGCTACGTACCCTGATTCTCCTGGATGTCGAGGTCCAGCTGTCTACATAAGTGCTACGTACCCTGATTCTCCTCAATGTCGAGGTCCAGCTGCCTCACCTCCTCCTGGATCTGCTCAATGCGCTCCTGTAACTCCTTGGTCCTGGAAAAGTAATAGAGACTTAATTGACTTGGTACAGGTAATGTGGAATGTAAAAGTTCTTTTGTTGATCAGGGGTTAACATCACTTGTCATTGCTTACAACATCCCAGTGTGAGGCCAGGTCACAAATACTGTCTCTCCATGTGTTCAGGAGGTACTTACTGTCTCTCCATGTGTTCAGGAGGTACTAACTGTCTCTCCATGTGTTCAGGGGGTACTTACAGTCTCTCTCCATGTGTTCAGGGGGTACTTACTGTCTCTCTCCATGTGTTCAGGGGGTACTTACTGTCTCTCCATGTGTTCAGGAGGTACTTACTGTCTCTCCATGTGTTCAGGGGTACTTACTGTCTCTCCATGTGTTCAGGGGTACTTACTGTCTCTCCATGTGTTTAGGGGGTACTTACTGTCTCTCCATGTGTTCAGGGGGTACTTACAGTCTCTCTCCATGTGTTCAGGGGGTACTTACAGTCTCTCTCCATGTGTTCAGGGGGTACTTACTGTCTCTCCATGTGTTCAGGGGGTACTTACTGTCTCTCCATGTGTTCAGGGGGTACTGTCTCTCCATGTGTTCAGGGGGTACTTACTGTCTCTCCATGTGTTCAGGAGGTACTAACTGTCTCTCCATGTGTTCAGGAGGTATTTACTGTCTCTCCATGTGTTCAGGGGGTACTTACTGTCTCTCCATGTGTTCCATGGGTACTTACTGTCTCTCCATGTGTTCAGGGGGTACTTACTGTCTCTCCATGTGTTCAGGAGGTACGTACTGTCTCTCCATGTGTTCAGGGGGTACTTACTGTCTCTCCATGTGTTCAGGGGTACTTACTGTCTCTCCATGTGTTCAGGAGGTACTTACTGTCTCTCCATGTGTTCAGGAGGTACTGTCTCTCCATGTGTTCAGGGGGTACTTACTGTCTCTCCATGTGTTCAGGAGGTACTTACTGTCTCTCCATGTGTTCAGGGGGTACTTACTGTCTCTCCATGTGTTCAGGGGGTACTAACTGTCTCTCCATGTGTTCAGGGGGTACTTACTGTCTCTCCATGTGTTCAGGAGGTACTAACTGTCTCTCCATGTGTTCAGGAGGTACTAACTGTCTCTCCATGTGTTCAGGGGGTACTTACTGTCTCTCCATGTGTTCAGGGGGTACTAACTGTCTCTCCATGTGTTTAGGGGGTACTTACTGTCTCTCCATGTGTTCAGGGGGTACTTACTGTCTCTCCATGTGTTCAGGGGGTACTTACTGTCTCTCCATGTGTTCAGGGGGTACTTACTGTCTCTCCATGCTGGCTATCTCCTGGTTGTCTTCCTTTACTTGCTTCAGCAACTTCTCCCTCTCCTCCGCTGGCGTCCCCCGTGACTTGGCCTCCTCCACCAGCTGGTCTCGCCTCGCGTCCAGCTCATGAAGCTGCTCGTACAGTCGCACTGGAACATGCACACACAGTCCTCAAACAAACACTGAACAGTTCTCACTGGAACACACATAGTCCTCCAACAAACACTGAACAGTTCTCACTGGAACATGTATACAGTCCTCACACAAACACTGAACAGTTCTCACTGGAACATGCACAGGTAGACAGTCCCCACACAAACACTGAACAGTTCTCACTGGAACATGCACATGTAGACAGTCCTCACACGAACACTGAACAGTTCTCACTGGAACATGCACATGTATACAGTCCTCACACAAACACTGAACAGTTCTCACTGGAACATGCACAGGTAGACAGTCCTCACACAAACACTGAACAGTTCTCACTGGAACATGCACATGTAGACAGTCCTCACACAAACACTGAACAGTTCTCACTGGAACATGCACATGTAGACAGTCCTAACACAAAAACTGAACAGTTCTCACTGGAACATGCACATGTAGACAGTCCTCACACAAACACTGAACAGTTCTCACTGGAACATGCACAGGTAGACAGTCCTCACACAAACACTGAACAGTTCTCACTGGAACATGCACATGTATACAGTCCTCACACAAACACTGAACAGTTCTCACTGGAACATGCACATGTAGACAGTCCTCACACAAACACTGAACAGTTCTCACTGGAACATGCACAGGTAGACAGTCCTCACACAAACACTGAACAGTTCTCACTGGAACATGCACATGTATACAGTCCTCACACAAACACTGAACAGTTCTCACTGGAACATGCACATGTAGACAGTCCTCACACAAACACTGAACAGTTCTCACAAAATTGTAGAAAATGTGAGTGACTGTTATAAGAGCAGTATCTCAGTAATGTCAGGATATGAGATGGGATAAGAAATAAGTATAAGTCAGGATATGAGATGGGATAAGAAACAAGTTGAAGTCAGGATATGAGATGGGATAAGAAACAAGTATAAGTCAGGATATGAGATGGGATAAGAAACAAGTATAAGTCAGGATATGAGATGGGATAAGAAACAAGTTGAAGTCAGGATATGAGATGGGATAAGAAACAAGTATAAGTCAGGATATGAGATGGGATAAGAAACAAGTATAAGTCAGGATATGAGATGAGATAAGAAATAAGTATAATTCAGAATATGAGATGAGATAAGAAATAAGTATAAGTCAGGATATGAGATGGGATAAGAAACAAGTATAAGTCAGGATATGAGATGGGATAAGAAACAAGTATAAGTCAGGATATGAGATGGGATAAGAAACAAGTATAAGTCAGGATATGAGATGGGATAAGAAACAAGTATAACTATAAGTCAGGATTAGGTCAACAAATATTTTAGCTTGGGGAGAGTACTTGACATAACGGTCAGGCAGTTGCGAGGTCACCTCCATTCGTAGTTGAATGCTGCCGTTTACAGTGGGAAGTGATAACATAGAGAGCTCTGCTTTACAGGATATGGCTGTGAGGAATCTCGGAGCTGAGGGACGCAACTCTGCACGTGTGTAATGATGCCCTAGACAACATACAAATCGGGATGTATTATTATTATTTTCATCTTTATCTTACCTGCTTCTTGCTTGACTTGTGACATAGACAGCTCCTGAAGACAAACAATCAATCAGTTCCAGTACTGAACCAGACATGTCACAACACATTGCAAAGGAGGAAACATGTCTTAAAATACATAAAGGCCAGCAATTGTTGGAATCAAGTTTGTCTTTATAATTCCACTGGATACATACATCCTGCAAGCCCTCGATCTTGGAGTTGAGCTGATCCAGTTCCTGCTGGCCATTCTCCAGCTGCTTCAGCAGGTGCTCGTTCATATCCTTCATCTTGAAATATTTCTGCCTCATCTCCGGCTCCTGTCACACACACAACAACCAACTATAGACGTCTGCTACATACTGTGCAGTGTGTCATACATGGCGAGAGTGTGTTATACATGGCGAGAGTGTGTTATACATGGCGAGAGTGTGTTATACATGGCGAGAGAGTGTTATACATGGCGAGAGTGTGTTATACATGGCGAGAGTGTGTCATACATGGCGAGAGTGTGTCATACATGGCGAGAGTGTGTTATACATGGCGAGAGTGTGTTATACATGGCGAGAGTGTGTTATACATGGCGAGAGTGTGTTATACATGGCGAGAGTGTGTCATACATGGCGAGAGTGTGTTATACATGGCGAGAGTGTGTTATACATGGCGAGAGTGTGTTATACATGGCGAGAGTGTGTCATACATGGCGAGAGTGTGTTATACATGGCGAGAGTGTGTTATACATGGCGAGAGTGTGTTATACATGGCGAGAGTGTGTCATACATGGCGAGAGTGTGTTATACATGGCGAGAGTGTGTCATACATGGCGAGAGTGTGTTATACATGGTGAGAGTGTGTCATACATGGCGAGAGTGTGTTATACATGGCGAGAGTGTGTCATACATGGCGAGAGTGTGTTATACATGGCGAGAGTGTGTTATACATGGCGAGAGTGTGTTATACATGGCGAGAGTGTGTTATACATGGCGAGAGTGTGTTATACATGGCGAGTGTGTGTCATACATGGCGAGAGTGTGTTATACATGGCGAGAGTGTGTTATACATGGCGAGAGTGTGTTATACATGGTGAGAGTGTGTTATACATGGCGAGAGTGTGTTATACATGGCGAGAGTGTGTTATACATGGCTGAAGGGGAAATTTGCTCAATGGTCCCAATTGTCTTCTTGTTTGTTAGTACTTTATGAAACACTTGGGAATAGTACAGCTATATGATGGTGGTCTGTAAATAATCAAGTCTTCAAACCAGACAATTCATATCTGATATAATGAACAACAACGTGGTATGCAGCATTAGAAATTGGCACTAGTCCTGTAGTCCCTGCCAAACTGCCCAATGGTTAAGGTATCCTAAGGAATAGTAGAAATCTGCCCTTTCTAAAGGTTTTGCCTTATGTTATCATTATAAAGACCAGTGGGCTAAAAGTGTTAGTTTCTATCGCTGGTACAATGATGACGCAATCATCAAGTTACCACCCGATCCATCCACTACCCATTAAAATCCCTTTACGACCAGCATAGATGCATCTTCCCGAGGCAAGTGAGTTAACTGACTATAAAAGCCCAGTTTCCACCCTTGCCGAACTAGGCTGGTATTATGGAGTTACATTTTGGCTTGCCTAACGAGTCTATACATAGTCAACTCAAAATCGAGCAACGAAATCGAAATCCTGTTCGTAAACTGTCATGCAGATTTGGTCGATTGAAAGATTTGCAAAACATGTGCACCAGCAACTCATTGTCAACAGATATTATCTAAATCGTTTCATGTTTTTAATCAAGGTGCTCACGTGATTTGATGCACTTCGTGATGTACGACTCGTTTTATCACAATATAGATCTTGATTATCGATCAGATCGTCTTGACGTTTTGTTTGAAGAAATGCAAGTGATACGAGAGGTGGAATCTGATTGGTCATTAGGAGAGGCATGGAAGGGACATAGCTCGTAATAGCCACTCGTGGCGCTACGATCAAGCCCAGTAATTCCAGCCTAGTTCGGCAAGGGTGGAAACTGGACTTTTAAAGTCAGTTAACTCTAATGCCTCGGGAAGATAGCAGAGATGGGGACCTATTCCGGAACCACTACAGTGCATTCTCAGCCTAAAGTTAAGATGCTGAATCACTGTAAACAGGGCAATAATTACTGTTAGTTTTACACATCATGAAAATGTCTAGTCCCCCTCCAACATTTTGGAAGTGTGTAAAAGGCCTCCCCTTAAGTGTTGATGGTCACAAAGAACCTGTCAGACAAAGGATAATGTTCAGAATAATAGGTTTTAATATCTTAAGCTCATCATTGGAAATCAACTATAGCAGTATTCTGCTGATCACTTTCAGAATATTTGATAAATACATGTGACAGTTTCTTGAATAAGCCACAGCATTTTGCATTATCAAAAAGAATCAGAGAGCAAAGAAAGTAATTTTTCTCAGTTTGTGTGAACATGTTTTAACTGTATGTAGCTATACCCACCATGTCATTGACCAGACTGTCTGCCATGCGCTTCTCCTGATCCAGCTCTGTGTTCAGCTGGCTGATCATGTCCTCCTTCCTGTGACAACCAGTAACATCAGATCAGCCATTGTGACAACCAGTAACATCAGATCAGTCATTGTGACAACCAGTAACATCAGATCAGCCATTGTGACAACCAGTCACATCAGCCATTGTGACAACCAGTAACATCAGATCAGCCATTGTGACAATCAGTAACATCAGATCTGCCATTGTGACAACCAGTAACATCAGATCAGCCATTGTGACAACCAGTAACATCAGATCAGCCATTGTGACAACCAGTAACATCAGATCAGCCATTGTGACAACCAGTAACATCAGATCAGCCATTGTGACAACCAGTAACATCAGATCAGCCATTGTGACAACCAGTAACATCAGATCAGCCATTGTGACAACCAGTAACAGATCAGCCATTGTTACAACCAGTAACATCAGATCAGCCATTGTGACAACCAGTAACACCAGATCAGCCATTGTGACAACCAGATCAGCCATTGTGACAACCAGTAACATCAGATCTGCCATTGTGACAACCAGCAACATCAGATCAGCCATTGTGACAACCAGTAACATTAGATCTGCCATTGTGACAACCAGTAACATCAGATCTGCCATTGTGACAACCAGTAACATCAGATCAGCCATTGTGACAACCAGTAACATCAGATCAGCCATTGTGACAACCAGTAACACTAGATCAGTCATTGTGACAACCAGTAAGACCAGATCAGCCATTGTGACAACCAGTAACATCAGCCATTGTTACAACCAGTAACATCAGATCTGCCATTGTGACAACCAGTAACATCAGATCAGCTATTGCTACAACCAGATCAGTCCAGCCAGTTTCTATTGTACTCACTGTTTCTTGACGTCAAACATGTCTTCTATTTTCTTTGCTTCTCTGTCATTCTGTGATTTCAGCTGTAACACAATCACCAAGAACATTTCATTGCCTGTGCACCATATGATAGCATAGATACATGGATTAACACAGAGAATCTGCTAATGTCACCACAGTACAGCTTACAGTTGTAATTGTTACAAGTATCATGTAGGATGGGGACACAGTTGACATGGATTAAAACTTTTTTATTCTTTCAATGCGACCTTTAGGAACAGATGATAGTACCTTCATCAAGGCACTGGATGCTGGTATCTGTACTGAAAAGTCCCATTGAAAGAAGACGCATGAAATACTCATATCCCCCGCCAATATGACATGTCAGGTTTTGTGCAAGGCCAAATATATTGTCTAAAAACTATCAAAAGGCAGCAATTTACCACTAGACCTATCTATGTGACAAGTTTGGTGAAGAAATATTGTATGGTTTTCAAGATCTGCTCTGGAAAGTAGCACTACTGCCATTTTTAGTCAAAGTCGTTGCTATGGAAATTCGAAAAATAATTTTTTTTAAAATCTCCAACTATCAAAGGCCACCAGATCACCACTAGACCTATCTATGTGCCAAGTTTGGTTAAGATATCTCTCATGTTTTTTTAGTTCTGCTCCAGAAACGAAACGTGATGGACGGAAGGAAGGATGGATGGACAGCACCAATTCCCATATCAACCTGCACTTTGTGGTGGGGGATAATAAAGAAGTTTAAATCCACAAGTCAACTCTGTCCTCACTGTTTCTGCAGCTTCCACAATGCCACACAAAGACATCCTGCATACACTTTATGTCATGTGTCATCCACCCTCCTCCTTCGCCATCTTGGCTCCACCTCTGGCTACTACTCACATTGTTACAGTCAAACTCCACATCCTGGATGTCCTCGTCTGTTGTCAGTTTATCCACCAGCTGCAACAATAAACATGGCTGGAATAAACACGTCAATACTACTCTGGGAATACTTATAGTATTAAAATCCAGCTCAGGTATACCTACTGCATTATAATCCTACTTGGGTATACTTACAGTATTATAATCCTACTCAGGTATACCTACTGCATTATAATCCTACTTGGGTATACTTACAGTATTATAATCCTACTTGGGTATACTTACAGTATTATAATCCTACATGGATATACGTACAGTATTTTAAACCTACTTGGGTACACTTACAGTATTATAATCCTACTTGTGTATACCTACAGTATTATGATCCTACTTGGGTATACTTACAGTATTATAATCATACATGGATATACGTACAGTATTATAATCATACATCGATATACGTACAGTATTATAATCCTACTTGGGTATACCTACAGTATTATAATCATACATGGATATACTTACAGTATTATAATCATACATGGATATACTTACAGTATTATAATCATACATGGATATACTAACAGTATTATAATCATACATGGATATACTTACAGTATTATAATCATACATGGATATACTTACAGTATTATAATCATACATGGATATACTTACAGTATTATAATCATACATGGATATACTAACAGTATTATAATCATACATGGATATACTTACAGTATTATAATCATACATGGACATACTTACAGTATAATAAACATACATGGATATACTTACAGTATTATAATCATACATGGACATACTTACAGTATTATAATCATACATGGACATACTTACAGTATTATAATCATACATGGACATACTTACAGTATTATAATCATACATGGGTATACTTACAGTATTATAATCACCAAGTTCTCCCTGCAGGTCTCGGATCTCTCCAGCCAAAGCCTCAGCTCTGAAACCAAATATAACATCATAAAATACTTCTGTGTATCAGACGTTCTACAATCTGTATGCCATTAATAAATACTTGAAACAAGCTTCCAAAGCTCTTGGTACGTTTCCCAACAAGCAGAAAAAGGTCATGTTGGACAAGAGTTACTGAAGACACTGATACATTGTCATTCATTTCCAGTTAGGACTTTGGTTGTTTGTTGTTTGACGTCACAATATTCCAGCTATATGACGTTGGTCTGTAAATAATCGCGTCTGGACCAGACATCCAGTGATTGACATCATGAGCATCAATCCATGCAATTGGAATCGATGACATGCATCAACCAAGTCAGCGAGCCTGACCACCCGATCCCGTTGGTTTGCCTTTTACCACAAGCAGAGTCGCCTTTTACTGCACTTACTTAGTGACATGCACGCATGTGTGTGCCTGCTTGAACAAATCAGGTTTTATGGTGCTAGCCCACGGAGATATAAAGTTGTAGTTTAACATGAATACCCCAATCAGACACAGTATACTAACTCGAGCCGACCAGTCCTTGTTTTAGCCCCTTAATGTCGAGTGCCAGGCAGGGAAATAACAAGTATCATCTTTTAATGTCTTGATATGACACGTCCGGGGATCAAACGACCCTCTACCCTCGGGGTCGACGCTCTATCCACGGAGGGGGTCTGCTTTTGCCGTAAGAGTTCCAACAAGGAGGTATCTAACATACAACATGTGGCATATAGCTGAAGCTGTGAAAGTTGTGTACCTTTTCTCATATGAGAGGTAGCTGGAGTTCTCATCATTAGCATTCTCAATATCCTTGTTCAGTCGGATCACTTCTGCATTCAGCTCATTGATCTTACTCCTGTAACACAACATCATTCACAGAACATTAAAAGATGTAAAATAAGATGTAAAGATTAAATTATCAGTACCAGTTTTTCTGCATGCTCCCTCGGTAAAATCACATAAGCTTCATCCTCAAGCAAAGAGAACACAATGATCTGGGCTTGAGGGTACACACGCTGTAATTAACGGTATCATTCCACACAACACTCTGTACCCTAATCACCACATAATTCACATAACATTAACATTAACAGCCAAAAATGGAATTATCAGTATTAGTTTTTCTGTAAGCTCCCTCAGTAAAACCATATACCGTATTTGACGTAATAAGCGCCCTGCTCTAATAAGCGCTCACAGCGATATTTGCTAATATATTTGCTAGTGAACAATCCCAATTACCACCCCTTCCAATTGATCAATGTACACAAGACATATTTATTCGTGTACAATAGGCACTCGTGTGGTGTTATATGCACCCTTAATTATGGGCAATTTAATTCTGGAGAAATATATCTGTCGTACATAAACATTTCAGGCTGTCAGCATAAACCATGAAATCTATCTTTCAACTCTGTTTTTTTCACCAAAATAATATTCTAATAAGAGCCCCCTATTCCTAATATTGAGAGCTCCCTGAGTGTTTTTTTTCAACAAAATAATATTCTAATAAGAGCCTCCTATTCCTAATATTGGGAGCGCCCTGAGCGCTTATTACGTCAAATACGGTAACTCAATCTTGAAGCTTGAGGGTACATACATTGTAATTATGGGTATCACTCCACACAACATTCTAATCCCACTTTTAAGATATCAACGGTACATATCAGGTGGTATGTTCAGAAAGATACATATGTTATCTGTCTGATCTGTAAATATGGAAGCCTGGATCAGACAATCCAGTGATAGACATCATGAGCATTGATCAGGCAATTGGGATATGATGACATGCATCAACAAAGTCAGCGAATCTGACCCACCATCTTGTTAGTCGCATCATACAACAAGCATGGGTTGCTGAAGACCAATTCTAACCTGGATCTTCACCGGGCTATCAAGAGGCTTTGTATCATTTTCATATCATCATCAAAAACAACCTCAGGCAAAAAAATGATTGACTGATTGGTTAGTCATAGGTTGTTAGGCTCAGAATATTCAGTTCTCAAAAGAAGGAAAAACAATATTTCATTAAGGTCTAAGCTGCACCATACGTATCTAGTTAAGCAAAAAAAGGCTCTTTTAAAAAAATAAAAATGAAGTGTTTACCTGATCAAGCCAAGGTAGTATGTCTTGTCCATAACTTGTCTCCCACCTGTAACATCATCATCATCATCATCATCATCATCATCATCATGGAAGAGAAAACAATCATGTCATTAACAAGCATATGTTAGGTTACATTTTATCCATTTCTTTGCATAGTTGATGTGAAGGATTATTCTCACTTAATGTGAAGGCACACATGGCATGACAAATAAACAACACACATAATGTAACACCCAAAATTGAGATGTGTTTTAGTCAAATAATTTGATTTCAATTTTAAACTACTGTACTACAAATGATTCCTGTTTATTTCCGTAATTTGCTATTTCAGTGATTTCTTGCTAACCTTGCTTGGCTGTCTTCATTCCTCCCAAGCCCTGCTGCGTCGTGGGACGATCTACCACCGTCACCTGGGACATCAGGGCTGTGGACAGAGACGGCATGTATTCAATTCAGTTTATATCTGTATTGTGTTATAATGGAACAAAAAAATCATAAACCAACTGTCAAGGACAATCAAACAGATTTTGAAAAGATATATTTAAAATTCAATACATTTCCTTGTTTAACCTAATTTCAGTCTGTCCACTAGGCATTACACCATAACGGAGAAAATTACAGAGTTTTCCTTATTCATGATGTTTTCCTGAAAATTTTCAGTTTTTAAATACCATTACACCCAATAAAATATAAAACTGATGGCTTAACATCGTGCTTCTAAACATTGACAAACGTGCTTATTTGCTGCAGCAAAACGTTGTGTCAACAAAATTATCCTCTGCCTGTGGAATGTGACAAAATCTGCCACAGATTTCTAATGAGATTAGACAATAGCCATTTGAAAGAGATCGCTACCTTGAAGTAACAGGTACACATCTACAAAGATTTATTTGTAATATTTGACTTGATTTATTTCAAGGTCAATGACTACCTACCCACGCCTCCTCCTATCTGCCCTCCCCTGGTCCCTGGTCTAGCTGTGCCTGGATTCTGAAATAAGAACCGTGTAGAACATTATTAATGTAGCTTACACATTTTAAACCTTTCAGTCTTTGTAAGCATTGTAACGAAAGTATTGAGTAAACTACACCACTTGATGGTGAACCTACCATAGCAGTTGTCAATCTGGTGGCCGTCCCAGGCTGTCTCCCTGCAGCTAACAACAGAGAAAACTCTGAATAGTTAACAAAGACGGTGATTCATAATTTTTAATGACATATAAATGGGAACCAGAATAATTTCAAGATACTTAAAATATTTATTTTGTAAAACCATATATGGTATATATGATATTGATATTGACAAAAAATTAAATACATCAATTCTAAGAATTGTTAACAAGATATAAGTCATTACCTGTCCCTGGGGGGCGAGCTGCCCCTGTGATTGGACGACCACTGCTACTTGGGGGTCGTTGGCTCCTGGGAATGACAAGTAAGCAATATACATAGCATTGCATAGCAAAACTCGTCAAGTGAGAGCTGCTATAGTTCAAAGGCACACTTGGAACCAAGTCTGTGTCCAACATGTGCTCTTACAGGATACACAATATCCTAGGAAGATAATTTTCTAAGAAGATAACTTCATGAACATTTAGTTAGACTGTAAACAACTTAATGCTTATATGAGTGAGTGAGTTGACATGTTTAAGTCATATCAACAATATTTCACAGAAATATTAGCTGCATACATCAATATGATTCAAAGATCCTTTTTTTTTTTTTATCTTGAACAAGTTTCATTTGTCAGATAGTAACAGTTTGCACTGGTTTCAAATGCCACTTCACAATGGTTATTTTGTAATATTTGAGGGAAAGACACCTTCAGAGTATCTTGAGTGAAGATACAACCACAAAGTTATTTCAGTCAGGGATTTGCCAAGTTATCATTGCGACGGCAAGAGGAAACAGGTTCTTTTTAACCTAGCAATATACTTGCCAAACCAATCAAACATGTTAACGCTGTCCACAAAGTTGAAGGGTGCCAAAATGGATTCATTACAAAGATTCTCTAGCTCTACATGTGTTTTACCAAGATCAATTAATTTAACACCTCTTTACACATTAAAGTGAAGCGGGGAAAACCGCGAATATAGACTTAAGAAAATATTATTCCATATTTGATTACCAAAGCAACACACTAATGTACTCACATTTTCTTGGTTACGATGTCAACACTTGACTGGAATGCAACCGGAAGCTAGCGTTGTCGTGTAACGGGCGCGATGGAACACGCACTTGTTAAGTAGAGTTGTTTCCCCTTAATTTGTTCAGCAGCGAATCTTGCCCATGGACTGTACCATTTAACACATAAACAAACATTTTGTTTTCTTATATAATGACACAGATATCATGTAAAATAAATAAAATAAAATAATGTGCTATTTCTACGTCTTAATCTCTGATTAAGAGGATTAATTAGTGGAAAGAACTCACTTGCCTGGGTTCTGATGCCCTAGTCTGTTTTTCATCTTAGTTTTGTTATATTTATTCATCACATATTTCGCTAGTAGTGTTAACGCTAAGCTTTCAGTCATCAATCCATTTTTGAGATTTTCACCATATTATACACTGGACAGTCGAGGATACTGTAACAAAGCTTCTTTTAATGTTTATTACTATGTTAAACATTCTGTTGATAAAAGGATACTTTTTTTTTTCTTTCTTTTTTTTTAAAAAAGAAGTACCTGTTACATAAAATGTGCTTCCGCCCAGGGTAGCAGAAAGCCCATGACATAAGCACAACTAAAGGATACATTTTCGACAGGGAAAGAGTTTTCATTGACGATCTCTGCACGAAGAGGCCACACATTTTATTTTTGCTCCGGTGCAGGGATACATGTCTGTGTTCTTTTACTGCTCAGTGTCGAGAATTTGACTGAGTTTATTCTTTACCTGTGTATGTCTGGAAGTAAGTGAAGGCATGGGTGGCCCTGATGTCGAAGTCACTGTGCAGTGTTATGTCCCTTCGGTGTGGCAGAAACCTAGGATCTTTGGTTCAAATCCCAGATTCTCTCTGATTATGCTGCTGTTTCACCAAAGTAGTAAACATCATAAACTTTTCTCACTTCCCTCCCAAATCCAAGCCGACATGAGAATGCGAAATACTGTTCAATGCAGCATTAAACAAAACTCCCTCACTCAAATAGCTGCAGTTGTCCATGGCATCTCCTTTCAAGCAGGGTAGGCCATGATAATCAGTCTTGTTTTTAGTTTAGGTTATGCACCTTGTCATTGGTGGAGTGAGTAAGTGATTATTGGTATTATGACCCGGCGATGCTCTTGTCAGTTTGCTTGTGTGACATCGGAAATTCCCTGCCCCTAAATCCACATGGGTACAAGTTGCTGGTAAAAGTATTGTGGACTTACTATGTAGCTATTGTTTTTGTGCTACACTCGTACAATGACAAAAGACAAGAGTGAGTTGGGTTTAACAATGCTTTAAACATTATTTCAGTTATATCACAGCTCAATGTTGGAGGAAAGAAAGTCCGGAGATTGTACACATGAACGATTTTGGTGAGACCCATGAGTATGGTGCTGAAGATCCACATCCTGAGGCCAAGCATCCTGACCTCATCAGAGATTTCGAGTTTGCAATAGGTCCTCCACAGCCTATGCTTATCATCAAGGCAACTAAAGGGATTTGGTGGTCAGATTCGTTGACTTGGTTGATTGTGTGTCAATGATGACAATGATGCTCAATCACAGGTTTGTCAGGTCCACACTCAGACCTTTGACATAGTGACGCTGGTCCCCATGGGGATTCATGGTGGGGATAGATCAGCAGCGATCAATGTGGTTGTAAGAGGTGACCAAAAAAGATAGTGTGGTCAGGCTTGGTGGCAAGGTTGATTGTGTGGTCAGGCTTGGTGGCAAGGTTGATTGTGTGGTCAGGCTTGGTGGCAAGGTTGATTGTGTGGTCAGGCTTGGTGGCAAGGTTGATTGTGTGGTCAGGCTTGGTGGCAAGGTTGATTGTGTGGTCAGGCTTGGTGGCAAGGTTGATTGTGTGGTCAGGCTTGGTGGCAAGGTTGATTGTGTGGTCAGGCTTGGTGGCAAGGTTGATTGTGTGGTCAGGCTTGGTGGCAAGGTTGATTGTGTGGTCAGGCTTGGTGGCAAGGTCACATAGCTGGAATATTGCTGACTGCAACAAACCAACTTTATATTCAGTATGACTGTGGGAGTAGCACATTGGTAACTTGCAGTGTTCGAAATAAGGGCCGGCCCATAGGCCTGTGGCAGGTAGGTCTCGTGTCAGGCCGGTCGTTTCACTTTCGTACGGGTCCTTATGGCCTGCAGTACATTTACATGTCAGTTTCTTTGTCACAATAAGCTGCAGTGTTCTAAAGGAGGACCTGAAGAGTGTAGTCAGGGCCTGCAGTACATTTACATATCAGTTTCTTTGTCACAATAAGCTGCAGTGTTTTAAAGGAGGACCTGAAGAGAGTTGTCAGGGCCTGCAGCTCCTAAAGTCTGAGGGTTCTGATGGCAGCCTGGCAATTTTTAAAATTTCAAACACCGGTCATCTGTGTCACCACATGTACAAAATGGTAGCTCTGCAAACAGACAAAAAAAAACAGGAGACGCTCTCCTTAGAATGATTGATTTATTAAATAAAATCAACATGAATGGATGATTGAGTGAATTATAAAAACAGCTGATACGACTGTGTTCCAGAAGTTATGACCATCCTTACAATGTGTGCAATCCTAATTCTTCATTGGCTGGAATCACAAGTGTACAAGACAGCAGCTAACAGTTCAGACAGCCAACATGGCACCTCACACACAAGTAACACAATAACACTGATGTATCGTGCTACACACAGGTAATCACTAATACAGTAACGTGGCCTACTGGTTCCCCTTTCAAACCTAAAACCTTGAAATAATCACAACTGAACCTGCTTCTACATTGATTTTGTAAGCTATTTCATGTAAATGTAATTCCAAATGTCAGTATAAACATAATATGTACTAATGAGGACAGAGTTCAAACTGTGCGGGAAGCCAAACAATAACTGGATGCAAGGAATCTATGTCTCCATTCCATTACACAATATAGCCTGGACCCTTGCACTACCACAGGTTCATTGTGCGCCCAGTTTGAATGACACAATACTAAAAATAGCCATCCAATCAAATTACACCCATGAGAAAGAGAAATTATGTGCTAAGACAGCGATAGGACAGATGGAGATGAAATATCACTTCCGAAAGCTTTGGTAGAAGCTAGGTGCAGGCTATTTACCATAATACAATAGAGATACACTACCCTGGATAGTCGAGAATGATGGCGATAGTGCCTTCAAGAGTCCAATGCCCATAAGTCCGGGAGCTCAAGGCAGTTTACAGTCTGATACTAATGTAGGATGCTTTTAATTCACTCTCAACTATCAACCACACAGTATATATTATGATGTCATTTGCTCATTCATCACCTTTTACTAATTGCAACCATAGTCATTTAAGTAATCGACAATATTTCGTTGAACTGGTATTATTTGCTTGGCAAAAGCATGAATACCAGACAACAGGCAAATGCAAAGCAGATCTTCAAAATAAAATTGAAAGGATGAATTGGGTCCAACCAATAGCCAGTCCTAGTCCTAGCAGATTTGATTCAAATAATTTGAAACTCATTTTGTTTATCTGCGAACTCAAATTTCATCATGTGTAGGAAACAGTTCCCTAGTACAACCCTGACAATGTGTCTCATTCTTGGCACAACAGCAACATCAAGAACAACACTAAGCAAAAGACCCCAACATTGCGGTCAAAACATTCAGTTTAGGGTGTAGGGATGTGCACAACGTTGTCATCCACTACCAGCTAGACCTGTGTGGGAGAACACATCTGTAACCACATGACAATTTCTCATTGTGATTGGTGCTGGGACGATACACCGATGCATTGATGGACCGCGATTTTTTACTTCTCATTACAAATATTGATCACAGGAGCACACTAAGAAAAAAATATTGATTCGTACCTTTAATGTTGGCTTTAAGAACTGTTACACTAAACGCCAATTAGTAATGAAAGTTTATAGTGAAAACGTAAATATTTTCGTCCGTCGTGCCATTCTTCACACTGCCGACTGTAAATCAGGTATTTGGCCATCCTGTCTATGAAAAAGATGGCTTAGGGACCACAGATAAAAGCACATGCAAGTATCATGAAACATATGGGATCATAAATAAGGTTTCGTGATACATATTGGATCGCACAGTTGGTGTATCGTCCCAGGCCTAATAGTAATACTGAGAGAATCAGCTGCCGTCATCATGCTTGTTTGCCACATTACACACACCTAATAAAACATGCCATCAGTGTGCCTGACGCTCCCTGTGACGACATGCTCTGACTTCACACCGACAGTGAGTCGGCAGCTGACGGGGACTTCTTCCATGCTGAGTACAGGACATACAATGCAACAATGTGTTTCTTCACAACACTTCTCGAACATTTGACTTAAAAACAGTGCTTTCCTTAAACGAAACAAGGCTTAAACTGGCTAGAATATGTCTGAAGTTGGCGCATAATTCTTCCAGAATAGAAAACAGAATCACACCCATCACATGCTCTGTGTTTCCATGGTAATGTCTCTATGTGCAGCTAGAGGTCATCATCATGATAAACTACGTCATACAGTTTTGGGGTGGGGGTTCAAGGCCCAGGCAAGTTCTATTTTCATATTCATTTCACCGCTCTTAAACTTCTGTCATGACCGCCACATCAAAACAAACCTGCCGATGACAACAGTTGTCAGTACACTGTGAGTGACACATATACATTCCTCATTAAAACCATGTTAATTGACAGACACAAAACAAATGCTTGACTTTGTGGTATGGATTGGCGATGAGGTATTGTGTGTATACTGATACAGTAGAACATGGATATAACCAACTACAAGGGACCGGAGAAATCACTTCCTTACATACATTGTTCGTTATATATGTATTCGCTCGGAAACGTCTGCCATCTTGGATAAACAAAACACAGTACATGTAACTGCTGCATTGCCCGCCATGATAGCATGTGCAAAGTGACACTTTGACATAATCGCGTGAAATTTATGTTTGTCTTACAGATAAGATTAGTCCAGTTACAGGTAAAATTAGCATAAAGCAAGTTCAACAAGTTTGAATCGTCACCGCTGATTGTGTTGATTTGCGCTGACTGCGTACAGCCAATTGTCAGTGACACTTGACACTGAGTGAGATTTCTCCATTTACTGTACACGTCACTAATTGGTAGTAGATGGGCTTGTCGGGGATCAGGTATGAGTTTGTATATACGTAAGTTTCGCTATAGAGAGTTCGTTATATATGCACATTTTATATGATAATATAGAGGAGATAAATTGGGGATTTTGTAACAGTTCGTTGTATCCATTTCTTTGCTCTATCCGTGTTTGTTATATCCGTGTCCTACTGTACAATGTGGCACAGACCATACACAGCCAATGTATGTTAAACTTCAATGTTCTAGTACAGTGAGATGTTGGATTTCTTCATCAGGCCAGACCACTTGAGGGCCTCGCATGTTCTTTGCTTGGTTTACAAAATAAAAACTCAAAATTTGTAGACCCCCTAAAAAACAATTCTGGCCTAAGTGTCCTGTATCAAGGACATGCCTGCCTTTATTTGAGCAAAAGTGAAAAAGAAAAATATAAAATGTATGGACAGAAAAATGCTTATCTCGAAAATCTTAACTTCAGGAGCATTTTTAACATTTTAACCATCTAGATGCGTTAAATTTCTGGGCAGTTAATATTAATATTTAAAAGGTTATTAATATTACGAACACACAAATGCCATTTAGAAAGTGGTCAAATGTAACAAATGTTATATTAATATTGCATCAACTTTTCCCTTGAAATATTTATTCTGCCTACTGAATTGTGGCATATTAGGAAAAAATAAAAATAAACTGGTCTAACATAATTTTTTCAAGTCTATAAAAAAAGCAATTGAGACTCAATGGATAATGTAAAATGTAAAAATTATTGTAAACAATAAACAAGTACATTTTTAACAACAATCCCACACAAAACTAGCAACCTCTGCAGTTTGGTTATGTATACAAGTTCTCTTACGATCATTAAAGTACATCTACCAACGGACTTCAAATGATAACAGTTGAAAAAGTGTGCTGTTATCCAGAATGCTAGTGATGTATTCTAATAACAGTCAGTTTTTGATACCGCCTCTTTTCAGAACAAAAAATATCTATGAAAGACTGATAACTGATTTCATTTTGTTTCGCACCAACTCCTTCAAACTTGGAATCCAGTGACTACTTGTTCTTCACAGAGGTATCCTCTTCATAACTCCACAAAGATTTTGATATTCCTGCAAAGGTGCAACTAAAACAAATACAGCATGCTGATACTGAAGCAAAAAGCCTGAGAGTCAATATTCAACTTATTCAAGAGTAAATTTAATCTGGACCAATTGACACCTAAGTGAATGAACACTACGGCCACACATTGCAAAGTATTAGGAACTGGATTGATGTCATTATTTAATATTCTCAAAAAATCAACATACCTCTTGAAAAATAAACTAGTGCATGACGTCAGCAATAACAAACACATGCTAAGTGACCACTGCACCTCTTTGTATCACCAAAGCTCTCACAAACAATGAACAAATAAGTAGTCGTCTGGATATAATGAGTTGGGTTTAACGCTGCTTTGAAGAGTATTTCAGTCATGTCCTGGCATGTCAACTTGATGTGGGAAGAAAGCCCCATGGTCTGGAGTTTAACAACTCTGAAGAAACTGACAAACACTGGTTGAATCTTGGTTTCCAAGCTACAATCAGCAGATCCTGGCAGTGTAAGGCACACAACTCTGGAGAGTGAATTGTGGCACCTGAGACCACCAGGCCACCCACTTCCTCAGTCCTAAATCGACACACCATGATACTAAACGTTACATATAACACAACCAATACGAAACTGAAACTGATAAATGCTGATTATGTGGAATTTGACTTTTGTTTTGCAGCTGTCAACCTTTCTGGTTTTAAAGTCCAGGACTTCCTGTCATAAAGGCCCAAACTAAAAGCAAAACCTTGCGTCAATTTATTCTGTTTCCTTGTACAGATGTGAGTACCCAATCTCACTAACATCAGATTCTAGGGCCTCCCACCACTACTTTTGTAGCAGTGAGCACTAAGATCTGATTATAATGATATTGGTGACTACCATGCTTGTGAGCTGTGTTTACTGTGAACCAGTGTAGTGTGATGTGGACTGTTGGACATGTATTGCTGTTTGGACTCCTGTATCTCTGCATCCCTAAAGTGAGTGAGTGAGTGAGTTAGTGAGTATGGTTTAATGCCGCTTTTAGCAATATTCCAGCAATATCACAGCGGAGGATACTAGAAATGGGCTTCACACATAGTACCCATGTCGGGAATTGAACCCAGTTCTTAGGCTTTAACCACCGCCCCGCATCCCTTAAGAATAACAACCATGAACATAATCCAATGTTATCCTCGCAGTATTCACCAATTGATCCATCAGTACTACCTATCACCATCCCCATGGCATCAGGCATCATTCTTCCTATAATTTCTGTTAATTAGAATAGTAAATCTTTGAAAGGTATTTAGAAAGGTATTTTTAATTTTTGTGACGATATTCTGATAAGGAAGTGAATTTATGGATGTAAACTTCTATATTATGAGGGAGTAAGTATTTACTATGAAACGTTGTGTTCCTCATAATCAAGAAGTTGACATCCATAAATTCTCTTCCTTATCAGAATATCGGCACAAAATTTTTTAAAAATTAAAAAATTAACTGAACTTATTGCCATGGCATTCATCAAGCCTGCTTCTTCAGCCCTGCAGCTCAACATAAACTATGCATGTTCCATTTACCTAAACATGTTTGCATTCAGTAATAAAAAAACATTTTTTCCACTTTCTGTATCTACCATGTACAGTTACTCTAACAGTATCTAACATCAGCTTTAAGTGTAACAGTACACAGGGTTCACACAGGCTCACCATTGATCCTCAGTCCGTGATCTTCGTCCGCCGAATCCAGACGGAATACTTGTCATGGAAAACACCACGATCCCCACGACTATTCTAAGTCTACTGACAACTTCACTAACAAACACAGCTGACCATGGATTGAAGAATTCTCAGTTTCACGACATTATAAAAGAGGTGCCTTTATAATGTTTTTCACAATAATTACATTCCAACATGAAGTATGATGAAGAAGTCTTTCGAACACATTAAATACATTTGCTGTAATGCATTGACTAGATTCGTAAATAGGCATGGGACTGGTTGATTAAGAAACACTGATGGTTCCTTATTATGCATCACTTTGGTAAAACAATTAAAAAATATACAGGCAAGATGTTTGCTTAATTAGAGATAAACATTTTATCTTTTGAAAAAGGAGGTGGTGCTAGATCAATTTTGAATATTTTGCCATGAATTTTGTCAGCAGTTTAATAAATCTAAAATATGATTTTTTCCTAAAACAATACGAAACATCAACACACCTTTCTCCTCCAAAGATAAAATTGCTGGACTTGGTCCTAATGCAACATTGAAGGATCTTTAACAGGATCTCTTATAGTTGTACCTTACATATAAAAACCCATAAGAAAGGTGAAACAAAGTTGGCAAACTTTACAACTGACCCAAAACATCCATCTTTGTGATATATATAGGTGAACTACAGAAGTACAATGTATTCAGTTATACAACATGTGCAGTGCAAGGGCATGTAATATAGCCACAGTGCTAGTCTCAGCCAAAGCTGGCCCCACCAAATGGTCACTCATTTCTGTACCATGTTAGTGGCCATTGTAACCAGTCAATCCACATTCTCTTACAACACTGGACGCCGAACACTGGTCCGAAGTGTCTTTTTTGTGCAGTGATCATAGTGAAAATATATTTCATGTTGTTTATTGTTCTCTTACCATGTGTAGTAAAAGCCAAATAACTTGTTCCCACATGTGACATAACTTGACATGTGAGTGAGTGAGGTTTTACGCCGATTTTAGCAATATTCCAGCAATATCACAGCGGGGAACACTAAAAATGGGCTTCGTACATTGTACCCATGTCGGGAAGCGAACCCGGGTCTTCGATTTGACGAGCGAATGCTTTAACCACTAGGCTACCCGACCGTCCCTATTTGACATGTAAAGTACAATGTACAGTTTTCAGGATATGAAGAAACAATTGAAAATAGAATGAAAATATCTGATAGAAAAACATTCGTTTAACAGTGATGACAAGCTTAAGATTTTCTGCAATAGTACGTTCATAGATTACTGTGTCAACATGAGCATCTAAGGCATGATATGAAGACGATGTCGACCAGTCAAGTAAGGATAAGGCCACAATAAATTAATTATTAGACTTTCATCCCATTTTTAAATATGAGGTTGAAGTATTTTTTATATTTAATTTTTAAATTGTTGAAGGTATCAGTTCAAGGCATCTGGCGATGGATGTGAGTCCCATGAAGCATGAATGTGAAGCAGAACTATGCACATGCTGTATTTCATCAGCCACACTAAGGCAACACATTGCTTCATCTGCAGGCAGGGACAATAACGTGATGTGATGTGAGGTGAGGTGAGGCGAGGTGTTTGGCAGTGGGGTGGATGGTGATGAAATATAATAATGGGGGTAATTAATTTATCATGGCCTAATTGGTTACTGCAGAAATTGTTGTTTCATGAAAACAATTGTGATTCACTGATACTGTAGTAGATTTGCATGTTCAGACAAGACATCTAGGAATACAACAGATGTTTCTTCCTTGTTATCTGTTGACACATAGTTCTGTCACTGTGTAAGAAGGACGCAGTAGACCTGTGGCCCATTCCACATAGCGATCTTAGCGCTAAGATGATCATAAATACATGTACCATACTTTAACATAGGATCATGATTGACGTAGCACTAAGACCGTTCTGTGGAAGGGGCCCCTATTCTTTATTTCTGAGCCTACCCGTCCCTGTCACCTCATCTAAGAGCACGAAGTCCACGTATGTTTCAACTAAAGCTGATTAACCCTTTTCCCATGGGATTCGTAACACTGTAACCATGGTAACAGGGTCTCAGAAACACAAATATCACATTTCTTCAATTCTACAAAACATGGAAAATAAGCAAACAAATAAAGCTTCTTTTCCACAATTTTGCCTCACACACATACAGAAATTCACGGTGGAGTGTTAAAATTACAGTCAGACATATCTTCTGTCGTAAAGCAAAAATGAAGAACACCTGAAAAGGCAATCAATGAGAAACAGCTTGAGCACTTTCATTAAAGATGGAACACAGTTGAAAGATGGGTTGCCATGGAGACAGACATCAGTATGCTTCCTTATCACAATGTGCACAAACTGAATATGGAAATCTTTCAAAACAGAGTTATCAGTCCTGTCATATCTGAAATGGTGACCATAATTTCTAAATTAGTCTCCAAAGTCACATTGAAATTATTGTTGATGTTGATGCCCCAAATTTTGCCTTCTGGAAGAAAAATAATACATGTCTCTCCCAACACACTAAGATAAAATGGTTGGGTGAAAGCGTAAATCAGAGATTTGATTTAGGATAGTCACGACAATGATTGACGCTGTCGATTGACACACAACACTCATTAATGACTAGTGAATCATTGAATTTCCCCAAAGGAACACGAAAAAGAAGCACATCAATTATGTATTATTTTTCTTGAATTTTAAAATCTATTATTGGAGAATTTATTGTAAATTGTATACTTATGTACTTGTCCTATCTGACAAGATGCATCTCTGCTTTCTTCTTTGATCATATGTGGAAACATACTTTAACAGTTTCCAGCTTCTAAAAAACAATTCACCCAAACACATACCAGCATCACCATGGTTACTACCCAAACAAATAGGTCATGTACTGTACTCCGTGCATAGCGACCTACACGACTTATCACTTGCTTAACCCCACCATATCATTCTCTTTCGTCAGAGCTAACAAGCTACAGTAGCTGTGATGCGGGGATGGTTGGAAGGGCATATAATGTGTGAGATAGGATAAGTATATAAATATACAATTTCCAAAAAACAATTTCCAAATTACTAAACTTATCCTATCTCCCACTATACAGTTAGATGGTGGGGCGCAGATACCCTAGCCTGAAATAAACTACAACCTTAAAGCGTACACGAGGAAGCTGGTGCTAAACAGTGAATTTAATAGGATATTGAAAACACTGCTTAGTGACTCAAAGACAATGACTTGTCAGCAGGAAAACACAGCGAAGCTGGAATTACAATCCTGATACGCTAATCGGATGTTACAGCATGAAATCATTACATGATTACATGAATGACGTGTATCTGTATAGAACAAGCGATACTGCATCGACTTATAATCAATCTGGAAGGGTCTCCAGTCAATCAATTCTACAAGACAGGACGCAAAACTATCTCCCATGGACAAAAGAGAGTGACTGCAAGGCATCTCTTTTAAAGCTTCGTCAAAGCTATCAAACACGCCTGAGGGATTGAAACATGCTAAGGCGAGAAGAGGAATGATCGACAATATGCAGAAGAGGATCTTTGAGCCAGTAGCCGGCAACACAAGTAGAGGGACATTTCTGAGCAGGAGAGGGACCTTGAGAATCTCGGTAATGTCGACCAAAGGACTGATCCTGTGGAGGAGACCAGTAAAAATCAGGATAGTCGGGATAGAGCACAGCACAGGGATAACCACCCCAAGGGGGATAAAGTCCATGTGTGGAGGGTAGCTCTCCCAGCCATGTGGTTGTGATCCTAAACACTGTACCACGAACAATCCCAAATGTGAAATCTCGTTGACCATGATGATGAACGGGAGTGATCATGTTGGCAACATCTATCTGAAGAACAGGGGGATGAGGACTTACCCAAAGTCAAATAACATTCAGCAGAATCTGTGTAATAATCCTCATACAAATTTTGTCGAGTAGGAGTCATACCTGTATTCAGGAGTCTCCTTATGAGAATGTCGATTGACAGAGAGTCGATCCTCCGAACGTTGCATCCTAGAGAGTCGATCCTCCGAACATCGCTTCCTAGAGAGTCGATCCTCTGAACGTGGCTTCCTAGAGAGTCGATCCTCCGAACGTCGCTTCCTAGAGAGTCGATCCTCCGAACGTCGCTTCCTAGAGAGTCGAACTTCTGAACGTCGCTCCCTAGAGAGTCGATCCTCTGAACGTCGCTTCCTAGAGAGTCGATCCTCTGAACGTGGCTTCCTAGAGAGTCGATCCTCCGAACGTCGCTTCCTAGAGAGTCGATCCTCCGAACGTCGCTCCCTAGAGTGTCGATCCTCCGAACGTCGCTTCCTAGAGTGTCGATCCTCCGAACGCCGCTTCCTAGAGAGTTGATCCTCCGAACGTCGCTTCCTAGAGAGTCGATCCTCCGAACGTCGCTTCCTAGAGTCGATCCTCTGAACGTCGCTTCCTAGAGAGTCGATCCTCTGAACGTCGCTTCCTAGAGAGTTGATCCTCCGAACGTCGCTTCCTAGAGAGTCGATCCTGCGAAAGTCGCTTCCTAGAGAGTCGATCCTCTGAACGTCGCTTCCTAGAGAGTCGATCCTCTGAACGTCGCTTCCTAGAGAGTCGATCCTCTGAACGTCGCTTCCTAGAGAGTCGATCCTCCGAACTTCGCTTCCTAGAGAGTCGATCCTCCGAACGTCGCTTCCTAGAGTGTCGATCCTCTGAACGTCGCTTCCTAGAGAGTTGATCCTCTGAACGTCGCTTCCTAGAGAGTCGATCCTCTGAACGTCGCTTCCTAGAGAGTCGATCCTCTGAACGTCGCTTCCTAGAGAGTCGATCCTCCGAACGACGCTTCCTAGAGAGTCGATCCTCTGAACGTCGCTTCCTAGAGTGTCGATCCTCTGAACGTCGCTTCCTAGAGAGTCGATCCTCTGAACGTGGCTTCCTAGAGAGTCGATCCTCCGAACGTCGCTCCCTAGAGTGTCGATCCTCCGAACGTCGCTTCCTAGAGTGTCGATCCTCCGAACGCCGCTTCCTAGAGAGTCGATCCTCCGAACGTCGCTTCCTAGAGTCGATCCTCTGAACGTCCCTTCCTAGAGAGTCGATCCTCTGAACGTCGCTTCCTAGAGAGTTGATCCTCCTCCAGTCACTGGAGTTTCAGTTGGATTTATTGCCACAAGCACTTTACGAACATCTGAGATCGCTGGTTGTTCCATCGTAGATGTGGATTCAGAGGGTCAAGAACGGACAGTTCAGGTGTCACTTGAAGTAAAGAGGAATCCAAGTTAGTTAAACAACAACGGAGGCGAGGACAGACGCCTTATTAGATTTCTTGAGTTTCTTGACAGCAGACGGCGTGGCCTTGTCAGAATCCTGCGATTTTGATCGCCTGTCCATTTCATGTCTGTGGCATTTCCCTACATATAGACTTAGAAGGATTCCTCTGTCATGTAGTCAAACTCATTGCTTGGAAAGACTGCATCGTCTCCAGTAGTCACAGCAGGTCTTGTAATAATGCACTCCTGCTAAACCGGACGAGGACTAAGATCTTTGCTCATCTTATCCTCAAATTGTCGCACATTAAGGGCTTATTAGAGGAAATCCGGTAAAAACACCAAAACTATATTCTCTCACTATTCACATACACATCTCCACTGAGTAGCAATGACAAAGAGAATGATATCGCAGGCAGAATCACATGACTAGGTTGCGTAGGTCGCTATGCATGGGAGTACAGAGTGTGACCTATTTGTTTGGGGAGTGACCGTGGTGATGCTGGGATGTGTTTGGTTCAATTGTTTTACAGATGCTGGAAACTGATGAAGCATGTTTCCACATAGGATTGAAGAACAAAGAAGAGAGACATAGTGTGAGATAGGATAAGTTTAAAAATAAGAAATTCTTAAAGACACCAAATAAGGTGCTATTTCTATTGGTGATAAAATTTCATAAGTAAATTCAAATCATGAAAAGACAAATGACAACATTGACTACTTCACTTTGTCTTCCACTGGTATCGCTGGTCGACTTTCTTCTATGGGTGTATTTAACTTTAATAAAATAGTCAAAACTTTCTTCACACCCAAACACATCTTGTAAAACCAGAAAATATTCATCACGTCCAGAATAACACAGGTGACAATAAGCACTCCTTGTATATGACCGATGCGGGCAAAATCTTCTGTGCCATATACGCTGTAAACTTTTGACCAATAAGACGGCATCACTGCTATACGTGCCAAGAAAAATGCTGCTGTCATCGCTAAACCATTTCCTATGAAGAGGGGACTGTTCTTTGGGTAGCGCAACACATCAAAGAACCACCTGGAAGAGGAAGGACAAGGTCAGTTCGGATGTCCGACAAGGTTTTCTGGGGCACCCAAGTATAATGTAATCAGACAGTTGGTTCCCATGTTTGTTTGTTTGTTTGTTGTTTAATGCCACGTTCAGCAATATTCCAGCTATATGACGGCGATCTGTAATTAATTGAGTCTGGACCAGACAATCCAGTGATTGACATCGTGAGCATTGATCCACGCAATTGGGATACGATGACATGCATCAACCAAGACAGCGAGCTTGACCACCCAATCCTGTTAGTCGCTTCTTACGACAGGCAGAGTTGCCTTTTACAGCAAGCATGGGTTGCTGAGGACCTATTCAAACCTGGATCTTCATGGGTGAAACATCCTGCATCTTAGTACACTAGACACAAACACCTTGAATAGAACGCAATCAACCATGTCATGTTTCTAATACTACTTAAAAACAATGTTTCAGAATTGGAATGAATTTGTCCTTTAAGTTTAATTTCTTTCACTTCAGTTGATGGGGTGAGTTAGGATCAAAGAAAACATATTTCTGGGAATTTTAATACAGCTCCTAAACGTCCCCAAAATAACAGAACTCAAACCTCTGGTTGACAAATGCTGTGGAAAACTCTGCCATCAGGCGGTAATTGGCGAAGTAGGAAAGCACTCCGTATGTCTGGAACAGGGAAACATGCAGTGACACATAACTACCATAATGAACGGGAGGGAATGTATGGGGGTGTACACTGTTGCCGTGTCGGCCTACAGCATGTAGTGAGTTAATCATGATAGAGTGCAGCATGTAGTGAGTTAATCATGATAGAGTGCAGCATGTAGTGAGTTAATCATGATAGAGTGCAGCATGTAGTGAGTTTGTCATGTCAGAGTACAGCATGTAGTGAGTTTGTCATGTCAGAGTACAGCATGTAGTGAGTTGATCATGATAGAGTGCAGCATGTAGTGAGTTTGTCATGTCGGCCTACAGCATGTAGTGAGTTTGTCATGTCTGCCTACAGCATGTAGTGAGTTAATCATGATAGAGTGCAGCATGCAGTGACATATAACTACCATAATGAACGGGAGGGAATGTATGGGGTAGTACACTGTTGCCATGTCGGCCTACAGCATGTAGTGAGTTAATCATGATAGAGTGCAGCATGTAGTGAGTTTGTCATGTCGGCCTACAGCATGTAGTGAGTTGATCATAATAGAGTGCAGCATGTAGTGAGTTTGTCATGTCGGCCTACAGCATGTAGTGAGTTTGTCATGTCTGCCTACAGCATGTAGTGAATTTGTCATGTCTGCCTACAGCATGTAGTGAGTTAATCATGATAGAGTACAGCATGTAGTTAGTTAATCATGATAGAGTGCAGCATGTAGTGAGTTTGTCATGTCAGAGTACAGCATGTAGTGAGTTAATCATGATAGAGTGCAGCATGTAGTGAGTTTGTCATGTCTGCCTACAGCATGTAGTGAGTTAATCATGATAGAGTACAGCATGCAGTGACATATAACTACCATAATGAACGGGAGGGAATGTATGGGGGTGTACACTGTTGCCATGTCGGCCTACAGCATGTAGTGAGTTAATCATGATAGAGTGCAGCATGTAGTGAGTTTGTCATGTCGGCCTACAGCATGTAGTGAGTTTGTCATGTCTGCCTACAGCATGTAGTGAATTTGTCATGTCTGCCTACAGCATGTAGTGAGTTAATCATGATAGAGTACAGCATGTAGTTAGTAAATCATGATAGAGTGCAGCATGTAGTGAGTTTGTCATGTCAGAGTACAGCATGTAGTGAGTTAATCATGATAGAGTGCAGCATGTAGTGAGTTAATCATGATAGAGTGCAGCATGTAGTGAGTTTGTCATGTCTGCCTACAGCATGTAGTGAGTTAATCATGATAGAGTGCAGCATGTAGTGAGTTAATCATGATAGAGTGCAGCATGTAGTGAGTTAATCATGATAGAGTGCAGCATGTAGTGAGTTTGTCATGTCAGAGTACAGCATGTAGTGAGTTTGTCATGTCAGAGTACAGCATGTAGTGAGTTTGTCATGTCTGCCTACAGCATGTAGTGAGTTAATCATGATAGAGTACAGCATGTAGTGAGTTAATCATGATAGAGTACAGCATGTAGTGAGTTAATCATGATAGAGTGCAGCATGTAGTGAGTTTGTCATGTCTGCCTACAGCATGTAGTGAGTTAATCATGATAGAGTGCAGCATGTAGTGAGTTTGTCATGTCTGCCTACAGCATGTAGTGAGGTAATCATGATAGAGTGCAGCATGTAGTGAGTTTGTCATGTCTGCCTACAGCATGTAGTGAGTTAATCATGATAGAGTGCAGCATGTAGTGAGTTTGTCATGTCAGAGTACAGCATGTAGTGAGTTTGTCATGTCTGCCTACAGCATGTAGTGAGTTAATCATGATAGAGTGCAGCATGTAGTGAGTTTGTCATGTCTGCCTTCAGCATGTAGTGAGTTAATCATGATAGAGTGCAGCATGTAGTGAGTTTGTCATGTCAGAGTACAGCATGTAGTGAGTTTGTCATGTCTGCCTACAGCATGTAGTGAGTTAATCATGATAGAGTACAGCATGTAGTGAGTTTATCATGTCTGCCTACAGCATGTAGTGAGTTTGTCATGTCTGTCTATAGCATGTAGTGAGTTAATCATGATAGAGTACAGCATGTAGTGAGTTTGTCATGTCAGAGTACAGCATGTAGTGACTTTGTCATGATAGAGTACAGCATGTAGTGAGTTTGTCAGGGCCGCCTACAGCATGTAGTGAGTTAATCATGATAGAGTGCAGCATGTAGTGAGTTTGTCATGTCTGCCTTCAGCATGTAGTGAGTTAATCATGATAGAGTGCAGCATGTAGTGAGTTTGTCATGTCTGCCTACAGCATGTAGTGAGTTAATCATGATAGAGTGCAGCATGTAGTGAGTTTGTCATGTCTGCCTAAAGCATGTAGTGAGTTTGTCATGTCTGCCTACAGCATGTAGTGAGTTGATCATGATAGAGTGCAGCATGTAGTGAGTTTGTCATGTCTGCCTACAGCATGTAGTGAGTTAATCATGATAGAGTGCAGCATGTAGTGAGTTTGTCATGTCTGCCTACAGCATGTAGTGAGTTAATCATGATAGAGTGCAGCATGTAGTGAGTTTGTCATGTCTGCCTACAGCATGTAGTGAGTTGATCATGATAGAGTGCAGCATGTAGTGAGTTAATCATGAGAGAGTACAGCATGTAGTGAGGTAATCATGATAGAGTGCAGCATGTAGTGAGTTTGTCATGTCTGCCTACAGCATGTAGTGAGTTAATCATGATAGAGTGCAGCATGTAGTGAGTTTGTCAGGGCCGCCTACAGCATGTAGTGAGTTTGTCATGTCAGAGTACAGCATGTAGTGACTTTGTCATGATAGAGTACAGCATGTAGTGAGTTTGTCAGGGCCGCCTACAGCATGTAGTGAGTTTGTCATGTCTGCCTACAGCATGTAGTGACTTCGTTATGTCTGCCTACAGCATGTAGTGAGTTTTTCATGCTGCCTACAGCATGTAGTGAGTTTGTCATGACAGAGTACAGCATGTAGTGAGTTTGTCAGGGCCGCCTACAGCATGTAGTGAGTTAATCATGATAGAGTGCAGCATGTAGTGAGTTTGTCAGGGCCGCCTACAGCATCTAGTGAGTTAATCATGATAGAGTGCAGCATGTAGTGAGTTTGTCAGGGCCGCCTACAGCATGTAGTGAGTTAATCATGATAGAGTGCAGCATGTAGTGAGTTTGTCAGGGCCGCCTACAGCATGTAGTGAGTTAATCATGATAGAGTGCAGCATGTAGTGAGTTTGTCAGGGCCGCCTACAGCATGTAGTGAGTTAATCATGATAGAGTGCAGCATGTAGTGAGTTTGTCATGTCTGCCTTCAGCATGTAGTGAGTTTGTCATGATAGAGTACAGCATGTAGTGAGTTTGTCATGATAGAGTACAGCATGTAGTGAGTTTGTCATGTCTGCCTACAGCATGTAGTGAGTTTGTCAGGGCCGCCTACAGCATGTAGTGAGTTTGTCAGGGCCGCCTACAGCATGTAGTGAGTTTATCATGTCTGCCTACAGCATGTAGTGAGTTTGTCATGTCTGCCTACAGCATGTAGTGACTTTGTGATGATAGAGTACAGCATGTAGTGACTTTGTCATGACAGAGTACAGCATGTAGTGAGTTTGTCATGACAGAGTACAGCATGTAGTGAGTTTGTCATGACAGAGTACAGCATGTAGTGAGTTTGTCATGACAGAGTACAGCATGTAGTGAGTTTGTCATGTCTGCCTACAGCATGTAGTGAGTTTGTCATGACAGAGTACAGCATGTAGTGACTTCGTTATGTCTGCCTACAGCATGTAGTGAGTTTGTCATGTCTGCCTACAGCATGTAGTGAGTTTGTCATGACAGAGTACAGCATGTAGTGAGTTTGTCATGACAGAGTACTGCATGTAGTGAGTTTGTCATGACAGAGTACAGCATGTAGTGACTTTGTCAGGGCCGCCTAATGTACATGATGTAGTACTTGTTTGTTGGTTTGTGGTTTAACACCGCACTCAGCAATATTCCAGCCATATGATGGCAGTCTGTAAATAATCGAGACAGGACCACCTGATCGCATTAGTTGCCTCTTACGACAAGCATAGCCACCTCTTACAGCAAGCATGGGTTGCTGGAGATTCTTACCCAGATCTTCACGGGGCACAACATGAAGGGTCTTTGTCAGGGCAATGTTCAGCATGTCGTATATTTTTTAGTTTTGGTGTTTCGTTGTTCATTAATAACACACACCACAATATTACAGCACTGAGATGGCAGCCTGTAAATAATAGTAACAAACCAGAGGTTGATAGTATGAGTACTTACTGTGACATAGTAGTAGGCATACATGGACGCCCCATGGTGAAAAAAGTAAAAAGTTTCGCCTATGTGCTTGTAATGAACAGTCATCACAACCAAATCTGCAAAAGAATAAAATATCAAGAAAACATTTTCACTCTTCCTCTCAACGACACAAAGCTTTTAAGATACATGACAAAATAGAGGGCAGAAAGAAATTATTTCCTGATAAATTGGAGTGGGGGGGGCTGGGGAGTAATATGCCAAGTGGGCTGAAAAAACAAATCATTGATGGACTTATTGGCTTAATAATACTGTAAAGCTAAAAAATAACGTGAGCGTGAATTCAATGCGAAAAATGTGAGTGGTTTTTGTTCGTATTAATGAAACTTCGCATTTATGTCTCCAAAATGACTATCAACAACAAGACGGCCTCACTGCACACTTTGGATAGCGGAAATACAAACTTGAATATAAACACAAATATTGTTTATTGAGCAGCAGTTGTAACATGTATATAACCATGTCATTCAAAGAATAGGAGTTACACAATAGCATTTTTGGCTAGGGGTCAGCAGTCGTATCGATTTGGATATTTACAGTACCATGTGTCTTAATATCATGTGTTGCAGATGTTATGCATACTAGCCTTTATCCACCTGCAATTCTTTTTGAAAATAATGTTATTAATCACCAAAAACTGTCTCCCATATAGATATAAATGGGCAGGATGAAGATATGTCTCAAGGGAGATATTTCTTTAATGAAATTGTATTACAAAGTACAAACCATTGTGATGTCATCGGTTATGACATCACAATGAAATTACATCACTAACCTCTCTGCCAGGAAAGCTGGTTAGCTACTTTTCACAATCAAGACAATAGTTATTAGGAAAAAAGTTGGATGAATGATTTTGGATGATAAATAGAATTTCACCCTTGTGTCTTTTGATATCAAATATAACACTCGTCTATAAATGTATAGAATCTCTATATACAGCTCCTATGACAATACTTAGCGAGACCACATGCAGTATCAAATACAAGCAGAGCACATACCAGAAGCCATGTATCCAAACAATATTGCACAGCTAGTTCTAACCATGGGGGCATCGCACCTGCAATAATGGCATGGATAAGTCACTAGGTAAATAAGCTGATTCAGAAACATAAACGAATAACAATTAATTGCATAAGTATCAGTATGAGTGAGTGAGTGAGTATGGTTTTACGCCGCTTTTAGCAATATTCCAGCAATATCACGGCGGGGGACACCAGAAATGGGCTTCACACATTGTGCCCATGTCGGGAATCGAACCCGGGTCTTCGGCGTGACGAGCGAATGCTTTAACCACTAGGCTACCCGACCGCCCCTGTATCAGTATGAAAACATGATAGTTCTAACACAAGACAGATGCAGCACATCTGAGTAACATTAACACCATCGGCACATCACAGTGCACAATTTTAGAAAATTAAGATCTTACTTAACATGTTTTATTAAATTAATACAAGAAATTATTCTACATTCTCAAAACATTCCTTCAAACAGTATTTCTTCAAAATGTCAACACAATTTACTTACTTCAAATACAAAGTATGAATTAAACTGACAACTGTGATTCGTTATCATAAATTTGTACGCGTTAACGATAAGGGAAAAAACATTGGAATATTTGCCTAAAAGTAGTCCCTGTATAAAATAAAACACAACTGTTGGTCAAATTGTAACTATTTTCACCACATTATGTAAAACTACCAACAAATACATCTGCTCAAAACACACAACCCAAATTCAAAACCAGCAAGAAATGTTATTACTCATATGCGCACAAAATATTTTGGAACTTTTTTACCTGCATCCTTTATTATATTATCCATGTTATTATATCTCCTTTCTTTGATGATAAATACCATGGACTATCATGACTATAGCTACCATCGCTTCACGCTGTGACACACCCTAACAGTAACTTTGCACAGAATTTCTCTTGCCCATCAGCATAATTTTATGGGACGGCTATTTAAGCGTCATGTCCGACTCTATGGTAGTGAATAGGTCCGGGTTATTTATGATAGAAGGGGGTATAATACCCTGGATGACTGAGGATGATTTCACTGTTCCCAGGTATGACGGAGTACAGGTATTAATAATAGCATGGGGTATAATACCCTGGATGAGTGAGGATGATTTCACTGTTCCCAGGTATGACAGAGTACAGGTATTAATAATAGCATGGGATATAATACCCTGGATGACTGAGGATGATTTCACTGTTCCCAGGTATGACAGAGTACAGGTATTAATAATAGCATGGGATATAATACCCTGGATGACTGAGGATGATTTAACTGTTCCCAGGTATGACAGAGTACAGGTATTAATAATAGCATGGGATATAATACCCTGGATGACTGAGGATGATTTCACTGTTCCCAGGTATGACAGAGTACAGATATTAATAATAGCATGGAACATAATACCCTGGATGAGTGAGGATGATGTTCCCAGGTAAGACGGAGTACAGGTATTAATGACAGAATGGGGATATAATACCCTGGATGAGTGAGGATGAGGTATGACGGAGTACTCACCAAATAGGATCTTCACTGATTTCATTGTCGTAGACAAGTGAGTACACACACATACAGCTAACAATGGCAGAATGGAGGGTTGAGTTTACTCTGGAATCAAACCATGGAACAAGCAGTGTTAGAAAGTTACACAAACCTTAACTACAGAACAATGTCTAAAACTAAAATGGATACAGGAATGTGAATGACCCCCAGCAATGGCGGTCTCACAGAGCTGAATATTGTGTCAGTTTGTGCCAAAGACTTTTAGACTACTAGCCTGAACATGGCACTTCGCAAAATTCTCAGTAGAATCTAGTGTTATTATATTAACTATTCCTAGCTGAGCTGATGGGCGGTCAGTGCTCGTCACCCTGGACCAGATAATCCAGTGATTGATATTATGAGTAACATAGAGTCTGACCCTCTGATCCACGAAGTCCCCTCTTACAACAAGCCTAGGTAGCGGAGGACTTATTCTGACCTGGATTCCCCATGGGGTAGGAGGCTACAGGGTGACTAAGTTCTTTGTATTGGTCATAACTAACTGTCAGTAGCAATGTTTGGAATCTGTTGAAATTTCATCATCAATAATTGGTTATTAGAATTTTGATACAACCAATAAATTATCATGATCAATGATTGTTAAAACATTCTCTCGCAGGTATAGAAATATTCAAATTTCATGGCAACATGTAGAAAATTGAAACATTTAACATTTGTACAAAATATAAAGATTTCAGGGAATCATCGAGGATTCCAACTAAAGCGCCCTTGGCAGGCAAATTAATAAACTATAGTGATATTCCTCAACAGTGGATTTTTTAACCATTCTTATATTCATAAAATCTGAGGAACTGGGAAAATTGTCATTTAGTTTTGGAAGTTTAACAGTCATATGCTGCAGACTTGGTGCTGAACATCGGCGCCTGAATAGGTCCAGATAAACCCCTGGGTGCCGTTGTACAAACAACCTTAGTGCTATGACTGTCATAAGTCTATGTTAGGGTATTGGAGTTAGAACACCTTAGCACTGAGACCGCTCTGTACAACATCACCCTGGACCTTCTAGCAAAACATCCAGATAGTCTCAGTGTCCGACTTTCACATTCGAGGGATCATTATTGGGGTCCTCATACACTTGTCATATGTTGGCAGTAACTGAAGATCGGGAGTGGGATCTCACACTCCCTAGATTAGTGACACTACATTGTATGCTATGTATTTACGGTTGCCATAACAACATGAGTAAACTAAGCGAACCAAGGTATAAATCTATCAACACTAACATTGCTAAATACAGGAGTGAGTGAGTATGGTTTAACACCGCTTATTAGCAATATTCCAGCAATATAACGGCAGGGGACAACAGAAATGGGCTTCACACATTCTACCCATGTTGGGAATCGAGCCCAGGTCTTTGGTGAGACGAACGAACGCTTTAACCACTAGGCTACCTGACCGCCCCCGAAAGATGTGTTTGATGTATGATAAAAATGTATCAATTTTTGTTGCTTCATCACCAAGGAAGAAACAGAATATTATTTTAAAAAACAATAATGACATGTGACTTGAGTTAAGGAACTTGATTTAACTTGCACAGGTAAACATTGACAAGAAAACCTAGTTGCACCAGACAAAACCAGGTTGCACCCTGGTCCAACCATTTTATCCAAGTTGAAATGTGCACATAATCTCGAAGTACCCACAGTTTGATGACGTCAAGCCCCCCAAAGCATGACAAATTACACATAACACAGGGATCATTGATGTAGTAGGGTGAATAAAGCCTCGAGGTATAGAATGTGTTCAAAGATCAATGTTGTGTGGACAAGTAAGGGTTGGTGCATGTTGACATAAATAATAGGTTGCACTGGTGCATGCTATATGTAGCTAAATCAACCCAATGACAATAACACCCTTGTTTATAGAACTAGTATACTGTATATCGATGTGTATAAGGCGAGTTTTTCTTACCTAGAATTAGGGGGCTTTTAAGGGGGGTCGTCTTATACACGGGGTCGTCTTATACATGGGGTTGAAGTGTTTTGATTTTTTTTCCCAACACAAAAACATTACTGTGAGCACATAACAACGGAAATATCAGGTCAACAAATTTGTACTGAATTAGCTGAAGGGATACCATGTATTTTGTTTCTGTGGAAGACAAACACGTTTTTATTGGAAATGTAGGGAATGTGTATGCGCTGGTGACCTGCTTCATTCCGATTCTCTTTATAGATTGTGTATATAAATTAGCTTCAATGTTGAAGGCTTGTACAGCATTAGAAACGGTGATATACGGTACTAAAAGAAACACTATCTTAATATCCCTATTCTTGAGAAAATCTGACAGAACCAAAAGAACTGAAAATGTTGGAGATCTACAGACTCCATAAAATTGATTCTAGCATTCGACATAATAAGCGCCCAGGGCACTCTCAAAATCCAAAATAGGGGGCTCTTATTAGAATATTATTTTGGTGAAAAAATATAGAGTTGAAAGATAGATTTCGTGGTTTATGCTGACAGCCTGAAATGTTTATATACGAAAGATATATTTTTCCAGAATTTAATTGCCTATAATTGAGGGTGCATATTACACATGAGTGCGTATTATACACGAATAAATAGGTCTTGTGTACAGTGATCAATCAGAAGGGGTGCTAATTGGGATAGTTCACCAGCCAATAGCAAATATCGCCGTGGGCGCTATTAGAGCGGGGCGCTTATTATGTCGAATACAGTAATAATATCTCAGTCAACTAGCGTTCAGTGCTCTGTCCATGTTCTAGTTCGCGAGATAATGCAAAGATAAAGGAAACAACTCAATAAAAACCCACCACCTATCATAACAAGTCCTACCTATCATATCAGCTGATCTTTTGTTGCTGAAACTGTATAGGTGTGGTGTAAGCATGGTAAGGGCTTGCAAGGCCTACCTATCATATCATCTGATCTTTTGTTGCTGAAACTGTATAGGTGTGGTGTAAGGGCTAACAAGGCCTACCTATCATATCACCTGATCTCTTGTTGCTGAAACTGTATAGGTGTGGTGTAAGGGCTAGCAAGGCCTACCTATCATATCAGCTGATCTTTTGTTGCTGAAACTGTATAGGTGTGGTGTAAGCATGGTAAGGGCTTGCAAGGCCTACCTATCATATCATCTGATCTTTTGTTGCTGAAACTGTATAGGTGTGGTGTAAGGGCTAACAAGGCCTACCTATCATATCACCTGATCTCTTGTTGCTGAAACTGTATAGGTGTGGTGTAAGGGCTAGCAAGGCCTACCTAACATATCAGCTGATCTCTTGTTGCTGAAACTGTATAGGTGTGGTGCAAGGGCTAACAAGGCCTACCTATCATATCTGCTGATCTCTTGTTGCTGAAACTGTATAGGTGTGGTGTAAGGGCTAACAAGGCCTACCTATCATATCAGCTGATCTTTTGTTGCTGAAACTGTATAGGTGTGGTGTAAGGGCTAACAAGGCCTACCTATCATATCAGCTGATCTCTTGTTGCTGAAACTGTATAGGTGTGGTGTAAGCAAGGTAAGGGCTAGCAAGGCCTACCTATCATATCAGCTGATCTCTTGTTGCTGAAACTGTATAGATGTGGTGTAAGGGCTAACAAGGCCTACCTATCATATCACCTGATCTCTTGTTGCTGAAACTGTATAGGTGTGGTGTAAGCATGGTAAGGGCTAGCAAGGCCTACCTATCATATCAGCTGATCTCTTGTTGCTGAAACTGTATAGGTGTGGTGTAAGGGCTAACAAGGCCTACCTATCATATCACCTGATCTTTTGTTGCTGAAACTGTATAGGTATGGTGTAAGCATGGTAAGGGCTAGCAAGGCCTACCTATCATATCACCTGATCTTTTGTTGCTGAAACTGTATAGGTGTGGTGTAAGGGCTAGCAAAGGCCTACCTAACATATCAGCTGATCTCTTGTTGCTGAAACTGTATAGGTGTGGTGTAAGGGCTAACAAGGCCTACCTTTCATATCTGCTGATCTCTTGTTGCTGAAACTGTATAGGTGTGGTGTAAGGGCTAACAAGGCCTACCTATCATATCAGCTGATCTTTTGTTGCTGAAACTGTATAGGTGTGGTGTAAGGGCTAACAAGGCCTACCTATCATATCAGCTGATCTCTTGTTGCTGAAACTGTATAGGTGTGGTGTAAGCAAGGTAAGGGCTAGCAAGGCCTACCTATCATATCACCTGATCTCTTGTTGCTGAAACTGTATAGGTGTGGTGTAAGCATGGTAAGGGCTAGCAAGGCCTACCTATCATATCAGCTGATCTCTTGTTGCTGAAACTGTATAGGTGTGGTGTAAGGGCTAACAAGGCCTACCTATCATATCACCTGATCTTTTGTTGCTGAAACTGTATAGGTATGGTGTAAGCATGGTAAGGGCTAGCAAGGCCTACCTATCATATCAGCTGATCTTTTGTTGCTGAAACTGTATAGGTGTGGTGTAAGGGCTAGCAAAGGCCTACCTATCATATCAGCTGATCTCTTGTTGCTGAAACTGTATAGGTGTGGTGTAAGGGCTAGCAAGGCCTACCTATCATATCAGCTGATCTCTTGTTGCTGAAACTGTATAGGTGTGGTGTAAGGGCTAGCAAGGCCTACCTATCATATCAGCTGATCTCTTGTTGCTGAAACTGTATAGGTGTGGTGTAGGCATGGTAAGGGCTAGCAAGGCTTACCTATCATATCAGCTGATCTTTTGTTGCTGAAACTGTATAGGTGTGGTGTAAGCATGGTAAGGGATAGCAAGGCCTACCTATCATATCAGCTGATCTTTTGTTGCTGAAACTGTATTGGTGTGGTGTAAGCATGGTAAGGGCTAGCAAGGCCTACCTATCATATCACCTGATCTCTTGTTGCTGAAACTGTATAGGTGTGGTGTAAGGGCTAACAAGGCCTACTTATCATATCATCTGATCTTTTGTAGCTGAAACTGTATAGGTGTGGTGTAAGGGCTAACAAGGCCTACCTATCACATCAGCTGATCTTTTGTTGCTGAAACTGTATAGGTGTGGTGTAAGGGCTAACAAGGCCTACCTATCATATCAGCTGATCTTTTGTTGCTGAAACTGTA